AGAACCTCGACAGGAATTTCTTTCAAGTGCAAGGCCGCAATGTTGAGTCTTCCAGTTGTCCTTGCAGTATTGACGCGATTCTGGAGAACCTTCTTCTTGGGATCCTCGCCCTTACGCGTATTAAAAGGATCATGATGGTTTACGCCGAAGTCAAAGCCAGTATCCGAAGGGACGATTGGTGCTTCTTCTTCTGGGTGTGACTCGATCTCAGCTGCCTGCTTCATCTGTGCACGTTTCGCAGCCTTGGCCTTGGCAATCTGTTCACGCAGAGCGGCGGAAGACTTGCGAGCCGATGGTGGTGTTCCAGGCTCGGCCGAATCGGCTGTCAGAGACGTATTGTGAGAAGAACCTGCTGAAGGAATTGTACCATCCCAGGAAGCCGTGGAGGCAGAATTGACCGACACACGGCGGTTCGAGGTCCCATTCAGCGAAGCCTTACCAAGGGCAGGAAGTGAAGGTTTCTTGAACAACCCCTGGACGGGAGCCCTTGGCTTGGCAGGTCGCAAAGCCATAGACTGTGAGCCCTTGGGAGACATCATGGTAGGCTTGCCAGGGCTGGGGCTTCTCGCGTCAGAGAAGGGAGCTGGCTTCGAGGCTCCTGCTCGAGAATTAGGAGTCTTGTTTGCAACGACCGAGGACCGCTTCTGAGGAGTTCCATCGATGGGAGTCAGGGGCTTTCTGAAGGCACTTGCGGAACCTCGAAAGCTGCTGTAACCGAGGTCGGACTGTTCTGAACTAGAGCCAGGCCGACTCTCTGTCCTGTGAATCCTAACTGAAGCATCTGAAGCATAGCTAGACCCTGGTCTGGAACCGCCGCTATCTGCCCTCGAGCGTGGACGTGAACTTGATCGTCCTTGGTCGAAGAAGTTTGATGACTTCATCATGGCAGGAGAAGAGGGAATGGAAGCAAGTGTCTCGATAGTTCTCTCGCTCAGAGAGGGTCTTGGCTTGCGAGAGCGAGCCCTCAATGTATCGGGCTTATCATCCTCATCGGTCGAAGCGGTTCGTGGTCTTGATTGGTTTGGGTCAAAGATATTGTTGGCAGGATCGTACAACGGTGAAGTTGCAAATGTTTCCGAAGGCCTCCTTGTAAGGGTCAATTGACGAGGGAAGATATTTCCATCGAATTGAACACCCATAGCTTCTCCCGGAGGATCATACGGGGGTGTTGTAGATTGCTCCTCGATAATATCAGCTTGTCGCTCCATCGATCGATGCGGCGTCGAAGGAATTCGTTGAGCCATGGGCTTCGCCGGTGATAGATATGTAGGTTTTGTGATGAGCGATGTGCGTCTTGTTCCAGTGTTGAGATGTTCTCTAGACACTGCAGGTCGTAGTCTTTGTGCTCGCTGTTGGAGATCCGGTTGACCAGTTCGTAATTGATCTCTCGACATTGAAGGTCGAAGCCGAGGATTCCGTAGCTCACCACCGCCCAGACTCTCCCTTGACGGCGAGGGACGAACAACTGACGTCGGTCTTGGTAGAGCTGATGCTGGCTTTGGAATTCCTGAAGTTGGTCTTGGTACAGGTAGCTTCGAGAGTCGCGGAATAGCGCTCATGCGCTTCTGGGAGGAATCCTCCATGATGAACGTATTTGCAGGAGTGTCGTGGGGTAGTAGTATCGCGTTCTGCAGAAGTCGTTGTCTTTAAGAGGAATGCGGTTGACAAGATTGCCCGAGACAAACGGACAGCTTTTGCTTGTAAGGGGTCCAGAAAGGGATTTTGTTTATCGGGGGGCCTAGCGTTGGCGGGTGGACGACGGGACGGAAGGGCTTGCGGGAACTAACGATGAGGCGAACGATGAAGGCATCAACCTAGCACAGCAGAGAAGGAAATATTGAAGATGCAAGTTTGAGACACGAACAAGAAAAAGAGTTGAAAGAAGGTGACAGTGACAGTTCGCTTAAGCTTGTTGCTAATGTAAAGAAGAAATGATATCTCCAGGGGTTGAAGCGAGTGCCGTGCCTTGGGTTTGGAGAAGAAGATCCCGTCCAGTCAATGATACCCAGACAGTTCTTCAGTGCCAGGGTCGGGTTGGGTTGGGTTCCAGTGGAGACAGGCTGCGAACCCACTAGATTGCGCTAACCTGTTGATGATGTTTAGTGGCTTTTTGCAAGCCCGGTGTTCCTAGGCCCGGTCCGCCTTAGACACGCGTCTAAACTGCATTCTCTGTGATGATACAGGATAAAGAGTGTATTCTAAACAAGTTGCGTGCAACAGTCTGATCGTTGTTGTTTTCGTCCGTTTCCGGAACAATCAGCCATGTGTTCCTAGCCCCTCCCCTACCATCTTGTGGCTAAAGCTTCCGGCGTCCCGTCTTTCATCCCCAGTCCAAGCAAGGCACGGGCGGACCCTTTCCACCGGTTAGGTTAAGCTGGCCAATCCCTGTAAGGATGCCCCTGAAGTTTCTTTGTCCACTGTGTACAGAAAGCCTCATTTTTTACTTTTTGTAAACAGAGGCTTGGAGTTATTGATGCTCTTTGTTTACAATCGCGTCTCAGAACCAATGACGACACTACATTCTTCGCCATCTACGAGATGTGGTACGTTGTGGATTGATCTTATGTTCATTATTAACATTAGGTACGGTCATTCAGGTGGGTTACGAAAGAACCCACATAGCAACCAGGTACCTGGCTTTATCTGCAGGTACAGAGTAGCATCTGCATCGATCTATTTCCAGGAGTCCCATCATCATTGACTAGGACTTGAGAAGATAGACTTTAATTGAAGTGAGTGATGATACATCATTGAAATCAAATTATTATTCTCTCTCAAAAGTCGCGCAATTGAGATATTGTAGAATTTTATGTCATATACCTTTTGTAATGAAGCCTCGGATCTCTATTAAGTGAAACGTCGATCACGGATTATCACACCTTGTGCCCCTGTCGGCAGAACGTACAAAATATTCCGCCACGGGTTTCGTTTTTATCCTTAGCTTATGTTTCAAGTGTACCTCTTTTATGTATCAGATAAAGTTGTATCATCCGCAGTCACAGTTTTGGAGCTTTGGTGACACAGACGTAGGGGAGCAAGAAAACTTCTGGACCTAGGTAAATCAAGATAAAAAATGATTAGGGAATCTGAAGGTATTCAGTCTGTATAAGATTGACCCAAACTTTTTGTCATTTGAGATAGAGGCCTTGCATTGTCTTGTTTCCTTTGAGAAGCAGCGATTCTTACAACCCGGTATGAAGTCTAAATCGCTGATGCCCTCATAATACAAAGCACGCGAGCATATGAAGATATGATGGCGACATGAAAGGATATGTTCACGGTTTATTTGGCCATGGTCCGACTCCCAAGCGCCAACAAAGCCAATCAAGAATCTTAATTGCAACAATAAACATAGAAAAAGTGAATCCCCTCCCGCTTTCATGATGAGCAAACACTCTACACCACGGGGGAACATCTCACCATGCCTTTGCAGTCCTTTCACCGTATAATGGATCTTCCACCAGAGATTCGTCATGAAATATATTTTTTGGCCACACCAGACCGTGTTGTTCACATCCGACGCCCATACCCAACGCCCGATCTTGATTACAGAAAAGAGCGTTTCTCGTGCAGTACCCTCATTCCCCCTCTGCTACACATGTGTTCCGAATCCCGGGACTTTCTGACAAGTACTGGCCACAAGCTGGTTTTCCGGGACCCATCAACTGGGCGGCGATTCTGGTTCAACTTCAAAAGAGATACGCTGTTTCTCGACATAGGGGCACTGGTCAAGATATACGAAGGCATCAATCCGTTCCCCTGCAGAGATACCCAAAGAGTTCACAGAATAGCCTACGCGAGGGAGGACATGGGCCTCTATGACCAAGCTATCAGGTTTGCTCTTCAGAATTTCGTGGAGCTTCAAGAGGTCTTTCTCATTGAGTGGACTAGAAACGTGATAGATTTCTACGGGCCTTGGCTCAAGTCCAGCGAAAGATATTTTCCCGATCCTATTCCACAGAGACACAGCTATGAAACCAGGAACCTCTGCAAGTTTACGGAGATCCAAAAAATTGATGCATATCTCTGTTGTCTTCCTCGCTTAGCTGATCTTCGGCGCCCGCACTCATGGAAGCCAGGCCGTTGGTGCAATTCTTTGACCGTCTTCCCTCCAACTACCATACCAAAAGACACAGATCTCGCCAAGTATCTCAGGGAGCCTTACAAGAAATGGGGATCTCTTGATCACCCACGAGAATATTTGGAGTCAAGTTTCGCGAAATACTGGGCTGAATTGGGGCGGCCAAGCGGGAAGCTGCCCAAGTTCAAACCCGTGCACCTCCTCACCGACGCTGAACATCAACATATCCAGCGAGAACGACGCATCGGTTTCAGAATGCTGCAAACAAAGTTCCGTATAAATAGGCTTTTTGGATTGACTAAGAACAATCACGTTAGACTTATTGGGAAATTTTAGCAAACTTCACCATGTCAGTACAGGAAAAAAGAACACATCATTGCATCATGATATAAACATCTACTAGAAGATTCGATGCTGATACTTTAAGCTTATTAGAAGAGCAAAGAAAGTGGCATTGCACAGCCCACCAAAAGCCTAGACCATGTTAAGACAGATGGAAAAGACCTATGTCAAATAATTTCAATTTGTGAGGCTTGAAGTACGCGTATTGTCAATGGAAGCTTTGTTGATACCCTGATTGCCACTGAAATGTCTGTCCTCATTTTGTTTTAGTTGAGAATCAAAATTACAAACCTTGCCTCAATTTCAAGATGTCTTATTTGCAGTTGAGACCTGTGGCTGAGAGCTTATATCACCACACAGAAGTTATAAAGATGTCAATGTTGAACAAACCTTTCAAAACAAAAGAGTCGAAATAAAGACTGCGCAATAATTGAACCTTGACCGTAAGAAAATTTTTCATAGGTTGACTTTTTTCTCAGTGCATAACTATAATTCTGCACCTATTTATACGTCAAAAGCCCCAGAATATCAGTCGAATTCTTTTATCTACTTCATTCACTTGCTAGATATACAAGCAATGGCCAACTTTCAAAGCCTCCCGCCGGAGATCCGGCACGAAATCTACCTCCTCGCCACACCAGCTCGTGTCGTCCACCTCAAAGCTGAGTTTGTCAATGTCGATGAATGTTATACACTTTGGCGGGTCTCCAGTTACCAAGGAGCCTTTTGTCACTGGCGACAATCCAAAAACTACGAAGACCGCGTGAGGGTATATTTCTACAGCAATGCTCCAATACCAGTTCTGCTTCATACCTGCTTCGAATCGCGAGACTTTCTCATAAAAATGGGATATCAGCTCGCTTTCAAGACCAAGTCTCATGGGCCAAGAACGTGGTTCAACTATGATCGAGATATCTTATTTAAAGATCAGAACACTTGCGATATTGCACAGTTTGATCCTGGTGATGCTATCAGAGTACGTCGCCTGGCTATTAATGATTTCTCCCATTGTCTCTACGAGGTGCCGGGAGACCTTGAGCCGGCCCGGTGGCATAATTGTCATAGACTCTGCCTGTATCCACAGTGCAAGGAGTTCACGGCCCTTGAAGAGCTTCTTGTGGTTGACTGGACCCGAAACGCTTTCCCCAGGGGACTGACGAGAGACACGGGCTATCCTGCCAAGCCCCCTCGGAAGCGACACCGTTACGATACAGGGAATCTCTGGAAATGCGTGAAAGTGGAGGAAACTTCCCTACTACGAACAATGTACCACTACGACCCTAGGGAAGAATTGTATCATGGACCGAAGATTGACAAACCGCGCGGCTATGGGCCTGCACCTAATATTGCAGACTGGGGTACTTTTGGCACTCGGAGTGCATACCTGCAGTTGGAACTTGTTAGGTGCTGGAAGAGCCAAAATGGTTCCGCTGGCGAATGGAGGGCGCCGAGAATAACTCTAATGCACTTGATCGATGAACGACAGGAAGAGATCCTGCAGCAGAAACAGAAGATGGCTGTTGACGAGCTGCGTGGACTGCGGCAATACTAGGCTCCTGCTTTAAAGGAGAGAAAAGAACGAATTGATGCTGGGGTAGGTGTGATTAGTTCCCTTGAATTACGGTATCTTTGGGCAAATCGCTGGGAGAAAACCTGCTGGATCGAGAAGGATATCTTTTCATAGTTTTGAGTTTTGAAGTCTAATTTAGAAATTAATGGGATTGTCGGAATAGTCTCGCCATGTTACAGGGTCATACTTGGTTAAACTTGTTTTATATGTGGAGATACGAGGTGAATACAGTGGCCCAAGGGAGCAAGAAACCATCTAATCTCGACTTCAGTTGCTAAAAGTATTTATTCTAGAGCACATTGAATTTATATTATATTTGTTCAACATAAACTTCTCTTCGTTTCGGATGAAAGTCTTGACGTTTCTTATTTTACCTACCCTAGTTCGATTGCAAGATCCATGTTAAGACTAAAATTCTGATATAACAAAACCAGATACGGGAGGATATGGCGGATAATCTTTATGGTCAAGAGGCTCCTCACCTCTCTCAATTCTCCACCGATTCGTCGCCTCCAACGGCCCAGACAAGTCTTTGAATAACCAACCCCATTTCTTAACAAACCCCTCTGACATTTCCCATCCTGATACATCCCACGGCGGTGACCAAGCAATCAAGCCACGTCTTTCCATCTCATCGTCATGAAAGCCCTCATACAAACCACCAATGCAATCAGCCCATAAATCATCCTCATCGAAAGTCCCATAAGCTCGAATCAAACAGTCCCGGGCTTCTGGGGAGGGAAACATATCAATCCAATCACAGTGCATGACTGTTTGTTGTAGAACTGTGGGGAGAAGGGCTGAAGGGAGAGAATTCGGGTCGGTTGGGTATGGGACTACGTGGATGATGTCCTCATCGCCGCAGTCAAGGGGCGTGGTTAGCATGCCGGAGATGAAAGTCCTGTTAACGGCTAAGGCGCGGAGGGCGTTGTATTGGAGAAGTGTGATTAAATGATCTGAACTGAGTGGAAAGGCGACGTTTGACTGATTCTTCTTGGTCCTGTATGGTAGTAGGGGCTGCCTAGCGTTGTAGATCTGATTGGCATGGGATGCTGGGACGATGGACATGGTTTCTTGGTTGATATCCCAGCATTCAACCACTGGTTCAGATTTGACTGTCTCAGCCTCAGCCTTTGATGCCTTGACCTTCTTTTCTTGAGCCTTCCGCTTCCCTGTCCAATCATTAGCTAGGAAACACAAGGGTCATTGTAAGTTGCCTACGGTATGCTCTCATGTTCAGCCTCGTCTGCGCCCGCCTTCTTGCTGCAGCATCTGTTGTCCCGGTCCAGTCATCTTCTAGGCTTAGTGCCTGTACCCGGTGAGTAAGTTGTGCCGAACCATCTTTCAAGTTCATACCTCAGCCAATTGCGGCATCGAAGTGAGCTGAACGCATGGTTCTTGCTGATGAATCGACATGTTGAAACTATGAAGTGTTGATGCCGAAGGGAAATGCAAGCTGCTCACATTGTCGTGTCTGGCGGCTAAAGACGTTGGATTTGGAGGTGCGCAGACTAGCAAGGGTAGAGAGTCAATGTGATAAGATGATTGGTTGATGCAATATAGCCCAGCTTGACATAGTCTAGCGTCATGCAACCTGCTCACTCGTCCGTTTCTGGGTTTGCATTAGTGTTGCCGCGGAGTGTATCGTGATTGGCCAGGCACTTCTTGTCTTTATGCAGCCTGCTCACAACACTTGATGCGCAGAGGGCACGATGGAATTAGCTATGGAGTTAAGCGTCGGACTTTCGCTGCGGACTTCATCAGGAAGAACTATAAGAGGATAACTCTAATATGGATTCCCAAGTCTCTATGCTTATCGTTTCAAAACCACTCCAGCTCATCAACACTGCTCTTTCAGTTTATTTAATACTTAGATCGATTCAACAAGACCTCACAATGACCTTTCACCCCGATAGTCTCCCCGACCTCACTGGGAGAGTGTACATTGTTACGGGTGGTAACTCTGGGATGTAAGTCTACCTTCAATACCTCTGCTAATAGGTCTTGATCTCTAATCCTTCTTACAGGGGGTTATTCACGGTGTCCCACCTAGCAAGACATGGCGCCCACGTCTATATGTGTTCACGGTCTCGCGACAAAGGAAACAAAGCTATTGCCGAGATTCAAAAAGATCACCCTTCCACCAATATTGACCTGTTACAAATCGATCTGATGGATCTCGGAAGTGTCGTGGCTGCCGCTAAGCACTTCCTCTCTCTTGAGACATCCCTCCACGGCCTGGTCAACAACGCAGGCATCATGGCTACGGCATTTCAGATCACCAAAGATGGGTATGAAGCTCAGTGGGAGACGAACTATCTTTCCCACTGGGTTTTCACGGAAAATCTCATCCCAGTGATGCTGAAAACATCAAAGTCATCCCCTCCCGGAACTGTGCGTATAGTCAACCTCTCTTCATCTGGCCATCTAATGGCCCCTAAGGGCGGTATCAACTTCGACGACACATCTCTCAAAGACGGGAACGTCTGGGAACGTTACGGCCAAAGCAAACTCGCCAATATTCTGCATACCAGAGCTCTACACAACAAATACGGCCCCGGCTCAGGTAACAAAGAAGGCGAGATTTGGGTAACATCAGTGCATCCCGGTCTTGTAGAGACAAATCTCTTGTCGAGTGCGGATTCAGCTGAGATTGGGAGCTCGCGACTCCTGCCGCTGCTGAGATGTATGAAACTGTTCTGGACTGCGGATCGAGGCTCCTGGAATAGTCTTTTCTGTGCAGCGAGTCCGGATATGAGACCTGAGCAGAGTGGAGAGTATATGGAGATCTACCATCGGCTGTTTGAGCCTTGGTGGCAGAATAGTGCGGCGAAGGATGAGGAGTTGGCGAAGAAGTTGGATGAATGGACGAGGGAGACTATGAGAAAGGAGGGATGGATTCAGTAGGAGTTCCTGATATGATTGAATTGTTATATAGACTGTACTTTTGCTTGTAGAACCTGAAGAATAATCTCATAATGTATCATAAAGATCGTTATTTTGCCAGTTCTGCCACGTTACCGTGCTCGTTTCAATGGTGGTATTGAATACAGCATTAAAATCTTCCTTGTTCTCCCCAAGGCAACCTCAAGCCATGAAGTCTGCACCCAGCCGATCCAGCATGTTCTCAGTGGCATCATGCATTGCTTCAACCAAGTCCCAATCCATTCTATCTACTCCCCCCTGAGATGAGCTACCATCAACACCAATCACGTTCCTCTGTTGATCATAAGATATCCCGAGCTTCTGCGGATCGAACATTTCTAGCAATGGCTCACCAAAGATATCCCCATCGGCGGCAGAGAGTTTGGGGTCAGTCACAAAGGCCAGCAGATCGTCGTCGATGAGGCCTGTTTGGTTAGCAGTTTGTTCAGTCGTATACGATAATCGACGCGGCCTGGTCCTTGATCCTTTGCTCCTCTTCAACAAGCAGCGTAGCCATGCCGGGAAGTCAAATTCTTCCGGCTGCCTGCCTTTGCTGATACAGACATCGACAGTCCAGATCATTCTCAGGTACATGTTCGGCTGACTTCTCAGAATCTGACTCCAGTCTGTCAAAGAACTTCCGCTGGCTTGGAATAGACATTGGCTGTCAATCTGGGCTAAATTGGCAACGTGTCTCGCTGTCTGTCTCACCCACTCTACACCATAGTACTGGGGAAAGAAAGCATTCATGGTCTCAACTAATACTTTCAGTCGATCCTGATTTGATGCTGGAGTTGAGCCGGCTTCCACCGATCCGTTACATGACAGCTCATTACTGAGCGATGATAATCGCGCGGTGATGGTATGAAGCGTCAATGGTGTAGCTAGACAAGCAAGCCTGTAAAAGAACATTAGTTTCAGAACTGAGTGGCAAATTCAAGTGCTGTGCTCGGTTTACTGGACTTACGCTGATATCGGGAGCCAACGGGCCAAGCGACGGCGGGTAAGCTCCTCATAGCATTTCGTGATCTTCTGAGCAGCATCTTGCACCTCGAATGAGCTTTGCTGGAGTTTTAAACTTCGCCCCGGTCTTGCTGTATCTCCACCCGCAGAATCGGATGTGAGAGACTGCCGAAGTATCTTATAGTGACAGAGTGCAATGGATGCAGTGCTACACCATTGCTTAGTCTAACTAGGATGAAATAAGATACAGGGCGACTCACTGATAGTAGATGTACATGAGATTCGTCTGTAGCACAATGGATTTCTCCTGATCATTTCCTTTTCCATAAGAGTCTTTGGGCTCATTCTCAAAAGGAGGAAACTGGGCCGAGACTCTCACATACCAGGCCTTCAAGGAGGCCTCACATTTCTCAAAGGCGAGGTCTTCGTCCTCGGCAAATCGTGACTTGGACTTAACAGAGTCCTCAAACGGGTATGTCAGGGTAAGCACATCAGTCAGAAGAATCATAAGTTCAAGGAACTTGGAGAAAATGCCTATTTGACGCCGTTTCGTAGCCGGGGTGAATACGCTCGACCGATATATGTCGTCCTGAAGGTGTTCGGCGCCCAAAAGGATTGTGTTCTTGAAGTCAAAACGGTCGTGGGTGATATGGAGACTAAAACGCGTGCAGAGCGGCGAGATACGATCCATGATGACACAGCACCACCATAAGCGGTGGAGAGAGTTTTGGTATTTCCGCTGTTTCGTGGATGTAATTTCTATTAGCTCTGGCACTTCTGTGTATCGGTCCGCGTTGATACTTCTGGCGTGCTGGATGGCTAAGCTCAGCCAGGTCTTGTAGGGGTTTAGGGTCGTGTTCGAAGGTGGTACCCAGCCCATCATGAGAATGGCTGCTTGAGCTAGAGGGAGGGACGATGTTTCCGATCCTAGATCGTACAACAGCTGCAGGTTTTCGGTTAATTTAGTGGCGGACCATTGGGTTGCTCTGACACCAACCTTTGTTCGTCTGTAGAATTCTGCTCGAGCAGTTCTAAGGCTCGAGAAACCAAGTTGCTTGATGATGTGAAGAGACACGAACTAGAAAGGTTGTTATTGTTAGTTCATGACGCCGCATCAAACGATGTAACAGAAAGGATATACTCACGTTACAACTAGCAAAAAGCATAGCCTGAAACACAAGAAGTGACATGGTGGCCTGAGGACCTGTGGATTCCTTCTGAGAGTACATTTCCCAAAAGTCACCTTCATTGAGGAGCGGAAGTAGAGGATGGTGGTGTCTAAAATATTGCTCAACAAAGTTATCGAGAATCGGTCGACTTGGGACGTGTAAACATCCTTGAGCCTCCATGTAGTTGAGATCTTGCTGAGCAATCGTGTGAATGTTGTGAACTCTCAGGTACGGATAGTGAACGAAGAGCACTGTAGTACTTGTGCTGGTCCTCTGGGCGCCCGGCCGGGCAGATGGAATGTTAGGAGCCGTCATCCTGAGACTATGTGTCGAACCTTGTTCTGATGAGCTTGTTTCTGTTTGCATCTGGTTAGATATCATGACCAAGATGCAGTGGAGTAAAAAGTGAGGATGGGTTGTTTACCTCTGACGGGTGGACCATCATCATATCTAGATGACGTCGAGTGTATCTCTGTGGTCTCTGTCTCGTTGTCGCCAAGGCGATTTTCAAAGAAGGCAGTGTCGTCGATAGTATCACCGAATGTCAACAAACCAGGGTCGAGGCTGGGTGTATGAAAGGATAACCCAGGGTGGTCATCGAGTGCCTCGGTGCCTGTGGGAGGAGGTTCAGAGTCATTGGCATTATTGGTTTCATCAACCTCGTCGTCTTCCAGTTGCTCCGACAGCTGCCGATCGTCCCCCTGATAATCATCTTGGGGCGACCAGCTTGTCTCGTTCCTTGGTACCTGCTGATTTCTTGAGACAATGTGAGTTAGTAAAGGCAAGAAAAAATCTATCGAGAGAATCAAGAGGGTAGCTCCTTACAGCCTGGAAGCGCGTCCAACCACCAGACAATTCTTGCAGTCGAGGTGACAATTGGTGCATGGCTGACCGCGTACAGAGACATCACAGCGGACCTTTCTGAATCTGCATGACAGACAAGCTCGAGTCGATCGTTTGCGGCGCTGTGTGCGCTTTGTTTTCTGATGGGTGGAAAGCGGTGGTGACAAGACGGCAGAGTCCATTTTCGCGACTGGGTGAGTCTGAGTAGGAATAAGAGAGTAAATCCCAAGGTAAGGAATTGGGGCTCGGATGACTACCCCATAGATGGACAGGCAAGCAAGCCATTGAGTGGATACGTGGGGAAAGAATACCGAATGGTATTGCCGCAGAATGTTGCACTGTCATGACTAGACTAGACTGTTGTGCCTTAGCTAATTAGCAAGCTTAGGTCGAGTAGTCGAGGACTGGATTGACCTGGGGCAGGTGTCAAGTTTGCGGGGAAATGACTTTAGCGGAAACCTTTCCGACAATTTAAAGCGTTGAGCTACTCTTCACCTTAGACATACCAGCAGTATCATACCAATGATGGTTGACTAGAGTAGAGCCACCGACAGGCTTCCCCTCGGGGCCCCGGAAAGACACAAGTCTAGCTCGAGTCCAGTGGGTACTTGATAGTTATATCAGAACACAGCTCAAAATCTCGTACCTCTACTAGCGCCGTAGCATCCCTCGGCAGAGCAGCTGCGCTCTGCCGTGGTAATAGCTGTGGGTCCAAAGCCACCCATTTACCCCATACTCTCAATTTAGGCATAGATTGATCTGGGGTAAAACCTAAACAATGAAGGGACAGGCTATTGAGACATCCAATACAGACAGTATGGTAAGTCTGCTGCTGCTAGAAAGGCTGCCTCTAACCAATATCATGATAAATTATCAGTCCCAATCAAAATAAATACTTATATGACACTCAGCCTCTCTGTCCATCATGTACCAAATCCAAAATCTTCTCCCGATCACTTCACACGCTATCCTTGATTATACACAACTTTGGATAACTACCACCTAGCCTGATGGCTACCAACCAAGCATCATCCATGGAACCCATGTAAGCAAACTTCCACAGCAACTTTATCTATCAGACTAATAACAATGTTACAGCCGTACAGACCCGGACATCCCGGGGACAGTTGACATGAGCCTCTCTGGTAAAGCATAGCACCTCAGACTTTTGATTTCAAGAAACCACTAGCTAACCATATTTTCTAAACAGAAGGCCAGGAGTCGACTGCCTACGGACTGGCTCTCTATCCAGTTCCCTCCGATGACCCCAACGATCCTCTCCAGGTGTGTACATCTTTCACTCACTCCAAGTCCATAAGTTCTGATCATACAACCAGTGGCCAAAATGGAAGAAGACTACGCTCTTGTTGCTCGTGTCTGTCTACTCGTTCCTCGCAAACGGCAGCTTGTTCGGCCCGACTGTATACGTCAACTATCTCGCTGATAAGTTCCACAAGACGCCAAACCAGACGTCTCAGCTGACCACGTACCCAAACTTACTGTTTGGTTTCGGTAATATCTTCAGCCTGTCACTGAGCTGTAAAGATGCTGACTTAGGACTCCCTAGGATCTCTCATCTTCGTGCCAATGTATCGTAAAATCGGCCGCCGTCCTGTCATGCTGATATCTCTTGTGCTGGTAATGCCTCTTTATCCACTATAGAAACAAGAATTCCATACTGACAGAGTCATCTTGATAGTACTGTGCCGGTCTCTTAGGAAGTGCTCTCTCCAAATCGTACGACACACTCCTTGGTTTCCGAATGCTCCATGCTTTCGCCTCCTCTGTCTGTGAGGCTCTTCCCGCGCAGGTTGTCGCAGATGTCTTCTTTCTCCACGAGCGTGGCAAAGCCCTTGGCTGGTATACCTGTAAGCCACATAGCCACTACCCTGAACAAACTCTGCTGATCAAGATCTCAGTTGCACTGACCACTGGTACTCTCTCTGCCGTTGCCGCTAGCTACATGCTTGCAGGTGGCCACTCCTACAACCTCTTCTTCTGGGTTGAGTTTGCGATCGGATGCGTCTTGCTCCTTGCTGTTTTCTTCCTCTTCGAAGAAACTATGTTCTTCAGAGATAGCCACATCCCAGGTGTTCCATTGAACGCCGATGGTTCGGCGAGACTTCAGAAAGATGAGGAGCACCAGACTACCGAGGAGATCGAGATCCAGGCGACGCCACGAAACTACGTTCGTGACAGTTACTTGCAACAACTCAAGCTTATCAGAAGAACGGATCCAAACTCTCCCATTGTCATGATGATGGTAAGACATCACAGTGCAGTGACTTGAGCGTATGTTCTAACGACTTGTAGGCCAGATCGTTTACATATTTTGTGGTTCCGCCAGTCTTTTGGGTCTGCTCAACTTATGGTATGTCACATGTACATAAACTCATTACAGGCAGAGTCACCTTGCTAACTAATCACCTTGATAGGGATCATCATTGGCTTGGCAGCCCTTGCTTTCACCGCCACATTCCCGGGAATCGTGACATCTCCTCCTTACTCCTGGCCGATCGTAAGGGTACCAAAGACTATCTGTGGATCAATATTGACATCATTTCAAGGAGAACACGGGGCTCATAGCCGTCTCCGCCTTCCTGGGTTACCTCGCTGCCGCCGGGCCGTTCAGTTCGCTGCCTGATCGATTCTCTGCAAGGTTAACCAAGAAGAACAACAACATCTACGAAGCAGAGTATCGCCTCTGGTGCCTTGTTGTAGTACTTTTCGTATCCCCGGCATCTCTCATCCTGTATGGATACTCAGCCGAGAAACAGCTCCACTGGTTCGGTCTAGTCTTTGCCGTTGGACTTTTCCAATTCGGTATGTCTTGAAAGCAAGTATTTCAGCTTTGTGCTAACGATCGTCTTCTTGAAATAGGCGCATTTTTCTTTTTGACGTATACACTTGCTTACGCAATGGACTCGTATGAAGCAAATGTACCAGAAATGTTGATTGCTATGAATATCGGCAAGCAGGCCATCTCTTTTGGGTTTGGGTATGAGGTCATCAACTGGATCATTAAAGATGGGTATGTGACGGTATTTGCAGGGATCTTCTGCAGTGTTCTTTTGGTCAATAACCTTACGGTCTTTGTCTTCCTGGTGTTCGGGAAGCGACTGAGAGGGTGGTACACCCATACCCGCCTAGCCAAGATTCACAAGGGAAGCATTCATTGAAGGGTTTGCTATCGTGTTGGTAGTTACTCGGTTAGTAGCATCGGTGTTATTTTTAGCTGAAATGTGTATCTGAAAGCCTATCCTCGCTCCATAACTTGGTTTGTAGTCTCTCCTTCTTGGTAACTTGAAGCTGAAAACATCAACCTCATCATTGGGCGCTATGACAATGGCCTTGGTAAGGCCATCGCTCACTATTCGTACTGTCCGTCGCATATTCAATAGAATATGCTTCTCGGGTATTTTTCAACAGAGAGACCTTGACATCTGATAGAGGAGGAATAATCTTAGTCAACCCATCATGCTATCACCAAGCATCAGGAAGTGTCAGTGGCGCAGGCTCGCGACCCCTTAAGATTTGGTTTCGGTTCATCCGACAGGATGATAGAAGCGTGCTATTTGAGCACTCCGCTTGACTGTATCTGCACATCTGAGTTGACAACTTGCTCGCAATAGGCACCCATAGACTTAAGGCACCCGGATATCATGGCTATATGTAATTGATGTAAGTTCAATGAGTTAACGAAGAGATACTAGACTATCAACTATCCATTGCATTTAGAAGCCCAACGGACACCTTATCTCTCAAGCCTTCCTGGATCCAACCGGGGAACCCGCGTATCATGGAAGTCCAAGCTGAAGAGTTTGGTACAACGACTTGAGCCCCATACCCAGTGTAAAGCTGGTTCACAACACTATCAGCGACAGACTCTGCAGATATCGTGGTATCCTTCATTTTCCCCTTAGCGATGAGGTCCGCGATCAACGGTGTCTTCACCCAAGTCGGATGGATGATGCTATAAACTGTTATTCACACTGCAGGACCAGTAGACACAAGCCGAAGTATCTTACCTTGCTCGCACCAGTGGCGCCTTATAAATATGCCTCAGCTCCTGTAGCAAACCCTCGTGGAACGCGAGGAGTCCAGACTTGGTACACCCGTAATCGACATTACTGGCCTGCGTGGCAAAAGAAGCCAGACTTCCAACGTTGACGACATGACCGTGGTTTCGTCGTATCATAGCAGGCAGGAAATGCTTCACAAGCAGTATCGGTGCTATCATATTTACGTCGAAGACTTTGCGGATCTTGGACTCGGGACAAGCGAGGATGGACATGGCGTTGCCGATTCCGGCGTTGTTAATGAGAACGGTCGGGTCTCCATGTTCAGATACAATGTGCTTGGCCACTTTGGAGATTTCAACGGGGTCAGAAAGGTCTGCTGAGCAGAAAGACACGCTGGGGGCTAGAAGCTGTCAGTCTAGGTTGCTGAGAAGTCGTGATGTTGACTTACGAAGTTGATAGCTTGGAGCATTCAGATCAACAATGATGACCTTGATGTGCTTCTTTACAAGCTTGAGGACAATCTCTTTGCCAATGCCACTGCTACCGCCAGTAACAACAACGATTTCTTTTGCCCAGTCCCAACCGCTGTCGGTAAGGTAATTATTGACCTTCCTCCTGGTAAGCCATGAGTTAAATCGCGGGATCAAGCTTATCAAGAGCGCTGCAGCAGTGCCAGCCAAGATATTCTTGTTCTTGGCCAATTCTATTACATAGCCCAGGGTGGCCTTGTCTAGGTTGGGGAACGACATGGCAAGTGGTAGTTTGATTGCGACAATTCCGAGACAGTTGTTAACAGGGTAGTATAGATCGAATAGAACTCAAAATGAACAGTTTTATTCGGATATAAAGTTAATTAATTAATGGTGTGAATCGTCTTTCTCGACGCCTCGGGGTGCACGGCACAGGCGGTATACTTTGCCATGGGGTGAAATGCCGAGGGATCGATTTCCCGAGGGACGTCGTCATCCACAACACACTATGCCTTGGATTCAGAAACATTATTTCGACCTGGACCTAAATCTTTTAATTATTAAATACATAGATTTGTTTGTTATTTCGCCTTGAAGCCAATCCTACAATTGACCCTGTTCTGCCCAAGTTCAACCACTTACAATTCTTCTCACGTCTATCCTCTTGTCAAAATGGCTTCCCACAAAGATGTCGATGTTCCCACCTACGATGGCCTAAAGCTCAAGGGAACTTTGTTCTCTGTCGGTCAGAAAAAGCCTTGCATTATCATGTCAAGCGGTGTAAGTCACACGGGGTCTCGAGATCATACATTCTACTAACTCACCCTTTAACGTAGTGGTCCGGACTGCGATCCCATTTTCTGCCCGAATTTGCAGCACGATTTAATAAGGCTGGTTATGGTGTTCTGACCTACGATAACCGGTGCTGGGGAGAGAGCGAGGGTCTTCCTCGGGAGCAAGTCGATCCGACCTTGCAAACACGCGATTATTTCGACGTGTTCAACTTTGCGGTCACTCAGCCTGAAGTAGACCCTACAAAAATCGTCTACTGGGGGTCCAGTATGTCTGGAGGAAACGCCATCTGCGCAGCAGCTGTGAATCATAATATCGCCGGCGTCATCTTGCAAGTCCCCTTCATCTCAGGCGAATGGATCTCTCGCATGCCAGGGGCGTCGACAAGCTTACTCCTCGGTGAAAGAGCCAAGGCCACAGCGGAAGGATCCCCATCCAAGATCCCCAACTTCCCCAGTTCTCTTGATGAGCTGAAGACCGGCGCGTCCCAAGCTGTTCTCAAAGACCCAGAGTCGATCCCGTTTATTGGTGAAATGGAACGGCGAGGACTTGATTGGTCCAAGACGTGTACGGTGCAGAGTCTGACCTACGCTCTACTTCACGAGCCACTGGCTTATATCCATCGTATCTCGCCGACGCCCATGTTGATGATTGTGGCTGATCAGGATGTTACAACACAGCCCCATTTGCAGCTTGAGGCTTTCAATAAGGCACTTGAACCAAAGAAGCTTGTGGTTCTCAAGGGTATGGGTCATTTCTCGCCTTACTTTGGCACGCCCTTTGAGGAAAACGTTCAGGCCCAAATTGCTTATCTTGATGAACTCTTTGCGTGATATAGAATACAAGAGGTACTAGAATAAGTAGTGTAGATTCAATTAGATATATGAATACCGAATAATGTTATCATTTTTGAATACAATTAAAGCTTGCCTTGGTGTGAAATGAACTTGAGGCTATGATGCTTTGTCGAGTACTTACTCATCTCTAACATTCTTATCTTGCCTTTTCTTCTCCATCCGTACTCTTCAGTGAAAAGAACTGGCGGATATGGATGCACTAACCTGCTGACAAGCCCATGACCTGTAAACGCACCATCGCTCACTTGCCGAGGTGGCCCTTTCATGATTGCAAAACCGCCTTGTATGCAAGATTATATCTAGTAGCTCAAGCTGTATTAGTTCTCTGAAGTACCTAACTAGAAACAACCAAACTAAAGCAGGCGAACCGCTCTGTCGCGAACTCAAGGCGTTGAAAGCAATCGTTGGGTGCCCTCCAAGGCACATTAACCATACATAATCCAATCTAGAGTTTGGATGTAACCTCCACTGACTTTCCCTTCTTCCTCGTTTGCAAGACCCGTCTCAGGATCTTACCGCTAGGGCTCTTGGGAATGGCCTCAATAAACTCCACACCACCCTGAAGCCACTTGTACTTTGCTTTGTGGCTTTCAACATATTTGCAAATCGCAGTCACTACCTCTTCGTCAGACTTATTATTCGTACTAACATCTTTCACCACAAAGGCTTTGGGCACTTCCCCAGCGAAATCGTCTGGAACAGAGATGACTGCGCAATCTGCAACGAATGGATGAGAAAGGATATGCGCCTCGAGCTCCGCGGGAGCCACTTGGTTTCCCTATTGTTCCCGTTAGTTGCGCTTATGTTTAATGCGGACTGAATGGGCTATGGATACCTTTACTTTAATGAGCTCTTTGATTCGGTCGACGATGACGATGTGCTCTGTACCAAGAGGTGACAGACGTACGACAACAACATCACCTGTTCGAAGCCATCTGCCGTCCTCATCCCATACAAAGGTCTCTGCTGTGGCTTTGGCATTGTTCATATAGCCGAGACAGATGTTTGGAGATTGGACATAGAGTTCGCCTGGCTTCTCAAGCTCAGCTACTTCTTTGCCATCCTCATCAATAACCTTGCATCGAGTCCCGAGAACGATGGACCCCGATGTACCGGGGAGAATGTCATGCTCGCTTGTGGTGCAAACAGAAGGACTACTCTCTGTCAAGCCTGGTAGAGTCAATAGTGTCAGGTATTATCCTAGAAAACGTCTTGTTTTGGATCATCTTACCATAGCCCTGCCCAACTTTCCATTTTGGCCATGTCTGCTGCATACTCTCGATGGTCTTGGCACCGAGGGGTGCAGCACCGGAAGTAACCCATTCTATACTACTCAAGTCGTATGAATCGCATTTGCTTTTGTTCTGAAGTAGCTGAATGGCGATAGGCGGGACCTATAACAATTTCCAAGTCAGTTGGATACAAGGGTGATGTATAAAAGCACAACTTACAAGCGGCAAATGACGGACTTTGTACTTCTGTATGGCTGCGAGCATGTGTCCTAGATTGTATCTTGGGAGCACCACGACCTCGTCTCCCTGCCAAGGGAGTATGTGAGAGATAATGACCAGACCGTAGATGTGGCTGAATGGCAGTAGACCCAGTCCGACCTGCGTCTCAACCCCAGCTAATTTCCGCCCATAGGTCTCGTACTCGACTTGCAAGGCAACGTTACTGATGATGTTGTAGTGCGATAACATGACACCTTTCTAAACCCATATTAGCATTCGCCAGAAGGAATTATCTATGGATCCAGGGTCAGACAACTAACCGGAAGGCCAGAGGTTCCACTAGAGAAGCAGATGTAAGCAACCTGTCGCTTTCCTTGCTCCTTGACCCATCGCAACGGCGGGAGCGGAGGCAAGTGTCTTCCTTCATCTATCAGCGTAGATAGAGCGACAAACCTGCTGTTATTTGTTTGACCAGGCATATCGAGGATGAAAATATGGTCTTTAGAGATATTTGCCGCTGCTGCTGCCTCCAAAGCCACGGGAAGGAGAGGGATGCAGGTGAACAAGACTTTTGCACTTGTCGAACGAAGTTGATGCGTGAGTTCAGACACACTGTAAGCGGCGTTGGCCAGACTGACAATCGCGTTGAGGCGATGCAAGGCGTGAGTCAATGGAACGTAATCAATCTGGGAAACGCAAATTTCAATCAGTAATTCTCATCAAACATGTATCCTCGAGTGTTTTGATCGCACCGTATTCCAAGAAAAGACACAAGCCACCTTGTCCCATTCCGTGCCGTTGGCGACACTCCAATCGAGTCGTTTTGCTATCACCTTGGCCATAGAGTCGACCCTTTCCCGGACCTCAGCAACGGTATACGTATGGCCCGTCAAACCACAGGTGTATGGATTACGGGAATGTGTCATTGGTTTGCGGCCATGTTTCTCTGAATACATGAATTCTTCGACTGTGATGCTGTCTGGGAGAGGCACTGGAGGGAGCGCTCGCGCCCAGGCTGGTGATACGAAGACCATGATGGCGTTCAACTGGATCAAAGGAACAATTGGTAAAGCACTACTATTGAGACTTGAGATTTTTTTGAAGATACGATTTTATTCTAAGCCCAGCCTCTTTGCCTTGGAGTTACTCGAACCGCGACCCTCGGAGCTATTGCCTCGGCATTAAGTCGACGCACTGTATTGATCTCGTGCAACAGCCCCGTTTCCTTTTACCTTGGGAAATTTCCGATTCTGTGATGATCTTATGATCATTATTCTGTAGTCCCTCGGCAGTGCCGAGTTTGTAGAATACAATGGAGCGTCCACAGATGTGTATTTATGCTTAATACCCCACACTCTACCCATAGCATTTAAACGACGATACCACAAATACGAGAGCGAGAACCATCAAAGAATACTAAATACACACTCCATATAGAAAACATGATTGACGACTTCCGCAAGAGCAACGGTGATCATCTTGGCCAGAATGGCCATACGGCCATGCAGAACGGTTCTGGAGAGAACCCAACCAAGTTTACACTGAAAGACACTCCTGTCGAGAATCAACGACCCATGAGGGTTGTAATCATTGGAGCTGGGTTTTCTGGTATCTATTCAACTATTCGGTAAGTCATCAGTCTACTCAAGGTTGGAATGCCTTGGAGTAAACAGTGAAGTTGACGACTCGAATAGAATGACACAGAGACTGAGGAATATCGATCTTACCGTCTATGAGATGAATGAAGAAACATCAGGAGTCTGGTACAGCATCTAGCCTCCAAGTCCTGGTGACCTTGGTCTAACCTGAGCAACAGGTGGTTGAACCGCTATCCTGGCTTGGCTTGCGACATCCCATGTAAGTCTCTATCCTGGTTTATGTATCTCCTGTATAGGGACTGATGAAATCGGCAGCATACTGTTACCAGTTCAGCTTCGCGCCAAACCCCTATTGGTCATCGCTTTATGCTCCCGGCGCCGAAATCCGTGCATACATGCAGGATATCGCCGAGAGATACGGTGCCAATAGGTTCATCAAGACTTGTCATCAAGTCACTTCGGCCACTTGGGACTCAGAGAACAAGGTTTGGTGAGTAATTTTGAGGCCATGTCGTCAGCGTGAAGTAGACTGATGAAAGGCTTTAGGAGACTTACTGTAAAGAACAACAAGACCGGGGAGACATTTCAAGATACTGCAAACATCCTAGTCTCCGCAAAAGGCGGTCTCAATCAGATTGCTTGGCCGCAGATCAAGGGACTGAAGCAATTCGCGGGTAAGCTCATGCACTCTGGTGCTTGGGATGAAAGGTCAGTACATGGTCGCCTCAGTAAATTGAAGAGACATTGACAATGGGGCAGTTACGATCTGAAAAACAAACGCGTGGGAGTCATTGGCAATGGATCAAGCGCCATTCAAATCGTGCCAGCCATCCAGCCGCTGGAGGGCATCAAGGTGTCCTGTTTCGCTCGATCGCCGACTTGGATTATTCCTGCCTTTGGCGATGCAGCAATGCAAAAATTAGGAATGGATCCTTCAGAGACCAAGTGTAAGTTCCTAGACAAGCCCGGTATCTGGGGATGGCAGGCTGACATGGACAAGTCTCGCGTCGTCACCAAGAAATGCTTGCGAGGCAGCCAGAACTTTACTACAAGATGCGAAAGACACTCGAGGATGAGGCTGCAGCAATCTACCCTTTGACCTTAATGGGCACCGATGTACAGAACGGGGCTAAAGAATTCTTCAAAAAGCAAATGGAGGAGCAACTAAAAGACAGAAAAGACCTACTTCAAATCATTCCCAAGTTTGCCCCTGGCTGTCGTCGTTTGACGCCAGGCCCTGGATATCTCAGGGCGCTCCAACAAGAGAACGTCACCTTCATCAGCCAAAAGATTGAGGAAGTCACGGAACGAGGAATCAAACTCGCCTCTGGGGAAGAGGTTGATCTTGATGTTCTGGTCTGCGCCACCGGATACGACGTCGAAGCACCGCCAACATTCGGAATAATCGGTCGCAATGGGACAACGCTGGCGGAAAAGTGGAAGCCACACTTTGAGTCCTATATCTCACTGGCAGTAGACGAATTCCCCAATTTCTTCCTCATCGCAGGTCCCAATTGCGGTCTAGGCTCAGGCAGTTTGCTCAGTGTCTTCGAAGCACAGGGCGACTATATCGTCAAGGCGATCCGCAAGCTTCAAAAGGAAGACTACGCTACCATCGAGGTCAAACCCGAGCGTGTAGCTGACTTCAGTCAGTACATAGACGAGTACTTCAAAGGTACTGTGTACACGGACGAGTGCTCATCGTGGTATCGCGCCGGTAGACTCGGGTCACGAGTTGTAGCCCTTTGGCCTGGGTCTTCTGCGCAGTGCCTTGAGGTCCTGAGGGCGCCGCGATGGGAGGATTATAAATTTGAGAGTGCGGATCCTACGGGGAATTTGCTCCGGTGGATGGGGAATGGTTGGAGTCAGGTGCTGACTGAGGGCGATCCGTCGTGGTTTTTGGACCGTGATGTTGTGGATGCGCCGGATGAGGGGAAACCTGAGGACAGTGAGTTCTATAGAAGGCGACCATTTTCACACTAGGATACGATCAGTGCAATATATGAGTTGTGACGCCGATAAGGGTATCTAACCTATCCGTTCCACAGTGCCTGAGAGAATTCCAGCGCGGCATACAACGGCACCTAAGACGTACTTACAGTTCTATTCGTTGATAGTGATGGGTCTTTCAAGGAGGACCTTTGATATGAGAAGCCGATACATCTGTCTGGGGGATAATATGCCCTGTTCTTAGTGAGCAAGCTCTGATACAAGCAGGTATGTGAGCGAATCACCAAGATATGTGCTCTCTTTCAACACGAATATAGATTCATAAAAGTCAACACGACAAAATACAGTCTACATGATTATTTTTAGTATACGATATTGGCAAAACCTCTGTGAACGTCAGTTCCCCTGAACTCGGAAGGACAAAGAAGGCCCCAGAGGGCAAAACCTCAAAACTTAGATGAAGACATCATGAACTAGTCTAAAGATGTCCTGAAATATACTAAATTTATATAAGTTCATTTATTGTCCTGGATAAAGGTGTCAAAGTTTTATGCCTCCCTTAAGAAGCTGGTGTTCTACAGAGTCGCTGTGGTTGTAACTCCCAGTCAGCGACACAAGGGATCCTTTGTAGACATTTGCATACTTCTCGCGATAAACCGGCCAGCTCCTGTATCATTGTTCTTAAACATGCCTACTCTTCGGGGTCCAGATGCCATGTATCTCCTACGCGAAACCCTTCAGGGAAAGGGTCCGTGGAATCCAACACAACTTGCTTGAAGCTTGTTATCCATGCTTGCCCTTCGACCGAGGGATAAATAGCAGAATATTCGCCAACCTTGGTTGTTCCCTCTACCCTACCAACAAATTCCGTCCCAGTGATGCCGCGATGATAAAAGTTCTCACCCTCCTTCAGCTCTCCTTTGGCGTGGAGAACTGCAAGCCTGGCACATGTTCCTGTTCCGCAGGGGCTTCGATCTAAGCGCCCGGGAGACACAACGACAGTATTGTTTGCTGCCTTTCCGTCCTTGTACTCGTAGAGGGGCTCTGTAAACTCGATAATTGTGACGCCGTGGATACCAGGGTTTTCGGGATGGACTGGGTCCGTTTGTTCCATGACAGCTCTCTTAATGCGTTCTCCGACTTTGACCAGCTTGGCGCCCTCCGTAGTCTTGATTTTCAGACCAACCGATGCAGCATCGACCAGCACGTAGATCATCCCTCCATATGCAATGTCGACTTTTACCGTGCCTAGATCCGGTACCGAGATCTCTTTGTCGGTGGCAAACACAAAAGCAGGTACGTTATGGAACCTGACACTCTTGCATTTCCCATTCTCACACTTCGCATAAGCAGTAACAAGCCCAGCCGGCGCATCAAGCTTAACAACCGTCTCAGGCTCCTGCATGGTCACCATGCCCGTTTCCAACAGACACGTCACCGTCGCAACGGTATTTGCTCCCGACATGGGCGGGTACTCTTCATGCTCCATGATGATGAAGCCATAGTCGGCTTCTGGGTTTGTGGGAGGCAAGACGAGGTTGTGGCACATGGCGGAACAGCCTCGTGGTTCGTTGAGGAGAAGATTTCGAAGGTGGTCTTCTTTCTTCCAGAAGTGCATCATCTTCTCGTACATTGTCTTGCCGGGGACATCGCGAACGCCGCCGACTACAACGTCGCAAACCTCGCCGCCGCAGTGGACGCCTACGGTGTTGAAGCTGCGCTTGAAGGGCATGGTGAAGAGGTAGAGTACACTGCTGTGATGAAAGTTTGAGTTGGGCAAATTGCTGATGGCTACATATGAAGTTCTATCTAGCATCAAGCTCTTATACAGAAGATCATATCGGAACCAACAACCGTAGGTTATCACTGTTTCTATCTGAGGATTATTGAAGCTCCTCATAATTGGCTATCAGACGGAAGTCTGGAACGACCTTCCAGAAAGCTTAGCTTCTCCGCATGTTCGAAGGTTAGCTTAGCCGCCATCAACTAAGACTCGTGGGGTTTATCAAAGGGTCTTATTTGGGGTAAAGTTGAGGGACATCGGTGGGCGATCCGTAATCGGATGCAACACCGTCCCGGTTCGGCTCGGATTATTCTTGCCCGAACGACAGAACACAAGGAAGATGTTATACTTTACATGTAAGTGCACGAGGGCGTTAAGTACTATTACCTGATTTACATATTTGTCCTTGAAGATCAAATAAACCTATGAGTTAAGGATACAAAGAAGCTTATATCACATAAACTCATTCACCGTTCATCGTCAAACTCTGATGACCATTTCAGGTCGATACCCCAGATCATGACCAAGTCATGCCAAAAATCAAGATCCAAACTCCCAAAACTGGCCATTTTATTGAAGATCTCCAGCTTCACTCCTCATTCCCCGCTTCTTGGTGCCTCGGTTGTGGATATAAGGTGACATTCGGCCTTAATATCGGATGCCTCAAGCCTGGATACAAAATGACTCGCGATACCAGCTTTACTATCCCATGAGTTCGATTGCCGTCATTCGTAACTACTTACAGTGACGCATGATGATTCCACCGAGTGTTTCTCACCTCCTGGCCGTTGGGGCAGGAATTGGTACCCTATTTGCCAATCATGTCTCTGCTCTTGACACGACAACTGTAAAGACGGATAGCGGTGTTGTTAAAGGCTTTACAGACGAGTCTTTTCCTAATGTGGCTCAATTCCTCGGTATACCTTATGCCGAACCTCCGGTTGGGAAACGACGATGGGCTCCTGCAGTAGCCAAAGGACAATTCGGAACATTGAATGCATCGCATCAAGGCCCTGCTTGTCCTCAGGCTGAACCATCCAACAGTGGTCCTTGGCGCCCTGAGTTCCTGATCAAGCCTAACAGTACAAGCGAAGACTGTCTGTACCTCAACGTATGGACTCCATATAAGACTTGGGGAGGTAACAAGGATCAACTACCCGTGTTGGTTTGGATCCATGGCGGTGGTTTTGGTGCTGTATGATCCTCATTGAGTGGCTATCAGTGAAATTGAAGTTGCTTACATGCTTCGTGTAGGGCGGTGGTAACATCGACTATCAAGTACCTCCCCACTGGATCGCAAGGAGTCAGAAACACATAGTCGTCAGTCTCAAGTATGTAAAGACAATCCCTTCTCACTTACATCACTAACCGTGAGATAGCTATCGTCTGGGAATCTTTGGGTTCCCAAATGCCGCGGGTCTTGGCCCCAAAGAGCAAAATCTGGGACTCCTAGATCAGCGTCTTGCTGTCGAGTGGGTGCGCGACAACATCGCACGCTTCGGCGGTGATCCCAAGGGAATCACTCTCTGGGGTCAGAGTGCCGGCGGCGCTTCGGTTGGGTACTATCAGTATGCGTATCCTAAGGAGCCAATTGCGCGTGCATACATCCAAGATTCAGGAGGTGTCTTCTTACCCATCAACAATGCTGATTCCTCACACTCCAACTTTACCTCTATTGCGAAGGCGTTCAAGTGTGATAAAGGCAACCAGGTCGATTGCCTCCGCAGAGTACCATTCAAGGATATCCAGAAGAAGGTCGAGAATACAGCGGGAGTGAGCTTTGTTCCTGTTGTCGATGAGAGAACTAGGTTCTCCGACTACTCGAAGCGGCTTCTATCGTCCAAGATCCCCAAGCTGGTAAGCTCTCCATCACATCATCTTACCACAAGTAAAAGAGGACTATACTGACCTCTCCCTCAGCCATCCATCATCGGTACAAACAGAGACGAATGGAACTTTGGTGCAGAGCCTGCAGAGCCTGCAGAGCCTCCAGTCATGCCACCACCCGAACAAGTCCACACAGACAGTACCTTTGGTTGTCCCGCACACTTCGAAACAGCTCTGCGATCCTCAACCAACGCCAAGACCTGGCGATACATGTACTCCTCAAACTTCACCAACATCATGCCCGGAGACGAGGGTGCTTTTCATTCCGCTGAACTTCCTTTGATCTTTGGGACCCATGATATTGCGCGGAATAAGTCTGGGCCGTTTGAGTACAAGATCAGTCATTCGATGCAGGATTACTGGTTGGCGTTTATTCAGGATCCCTATGCTGGGTTAACGAAGAAGGGATGGAAGCCAACAGCTGGAGGGTATGATGCATTGCAGACTGGTGTGGAGTTTGGGTTTGACAATGAGATTGTTGTGAGGAAGTATTCGTTCAAGTCCTTTCAGGATGGGTGTAAGAATGCTACTGCAGTTCAGCAATAGGTAGTCCCACAATTGGTTATCAGCAAAGCTGGTTCTTATGTCAATTCAATACGATTTCCCAAGATATTTGCCATGTCATCGCCAATTCCTATCATCTAAAGAGCCATGTCTGCGAGAGATATCGGGTGCCGATCCGTAGTCGGATGGACCGGCCGGCCGTGGGGTCAAGAGCCGGCTCCATTAACCGGCTCCGACGCTGGCCGTTCTGCCCCTCCAGCGCCGACTTCGCAGTCATCCGTACCACGATAAGCATCGGGTTTATATACCTATATCAATAGTCAGTAAATATACACAGCTCTACTCTTCATCTGATTCTTCATTTATTGTTTTAGGCACAATGACCAGCAGCCTCGTCGTCCTTGGCGACGCCGAGATCCGCGACCTTCTCATCAGCCTGTCCAAAGAAGAAGTCCTTCAGTTCAAGGAGGCTCTGGAGAACATCCTCATTGACTTTTCCGTCAAAGGTGAAGGGAAATACCAACCAACACCAGATTTCGTCAATCGACCGAATGGGCAAAAGACTCTCTTCCGCACATTCACCTCTCCAGACCATGTAGGAACCAAGATCGTGGTCACGCCAGCTCCCATCAAGGACTCAGAGGGTAACACGGTGAACCGTCCACTTGGAGGACTTTTGTCTTTGTGCGATTCTGCAGGTGTGCCGACGGGTATACTCAATGCTGCGGAGCCAACTGGTTATCGTACTACTTTATCTGCTTTGATTCCATGGACTTGGAGAAGGAATACGGAAAATATTGTGATCTTTGGAGCGGGAAAGCAAGGGCTTTGGCATACTCGTCTGGCACTGGCTCTCAGAGGCTCCGAGATCAAGAAGATCACCATCGTGAACCGATCTGTGGGCCGGGCCAAGGATTTGGTCAAGACGGTTACGGAAGAAAACCAAAAGTACTGGAAGTCTTCTGCCACTCTGAATGTTCTGGATCCTGCTCAAGCTGATTACGACGAGGCTCTGGCATCTCTCTTGTCATCAGCCGACGCAGTGTTCTGCACAGTTGGTTCAACAAGTCCCCTGTTCTCACTCAAGACCATCCTAGGTGATGGAACACGAAGCAGATTACCTTTCGTCGGTGCCATAGGTTCATGGCAAGCCGATATGATCGAACTTGATCCAGAAATGCTTCGCCATGCTGCTTCTCGCGACGACTCATACAGCCCTCATGGTGCGGAAGGCAGTATTCTTGTTGATGATCTTGAAGAGGCGATGGTCAAGTCTGGAGAAGTTATACAGAGCGGTCTCAAGGGTGAAAGGTTACTTCAGGTTGGAGAGATCTTAGATTGGCTAGATGACAAGTCTGAAAGGAAGCCTGAAGGAGGCGTCGAGAAGCTGAAGAAGTGGATTAGTGAGGGCTTCATCGTGTACAAAGGCATTGGCGTGAGTGTCACAGATCTTGCCGCTGGAAACGCGATCCTGGACCTTGCTAGGAAGAGAAATGTTGGAACGACTATCTCTAACTTTTAGCTTAATGACGGGAATAGATAGAAGCTATCTCAGAGTCTCTAATGTGCCAAGTCATTTTGGTGGTCTACATGGTCGATTTCAGAAGCAACATTCGAAACAAAGTCGATGACAAGAATATTTATATCGGTTAGAAGACAGTTTATATGTCAGGATCAGCTGATATAGAAGTTCATGTCAGTCTGAGGCAACCCTCCTCGATGCAGCCTTTGTTCGCAGCCAAGTATGGACTGGATCCTTGAGAAGCTCTGTGAACGTTGGCTGTCCTGCAGTACTCAACCTTTCTAAATATCCAAAACTTATTGAGCAGCAAGAAAAGTTCCAATTGTAAGCTTTTATATCTGCTTACAATCATAGCTGCAATGAGTTGCTGTAAGTCGTTGATCTGTAGATCGATCGCGCTGGGGTGCATGTATGACGTCGTTTACCGAGCTTTTCCCGCTAAATCCGCGTCGCTAAACGGTAGCCCGAAAATAATTCATCGTGCCTGGAGAGCTTGTGCTCAATAGCTTCGTGAATCTTCAAAGACATTCAAATCCTTGACCTTTCGGACATCCACCCAACAACATACCGGCGCTTGTCTGACACCGTGGCTAACACCATCGCCTTTTTCATACGCGTGTCGGCAACATAACCTTTCACCAGCCACGCTCATTGAGACGACTTTGCCCACACCATCACCAATCGATCATGCGATAGCACCCTTAAATACTGACTGACAGAGCGCTCCCCCCCGTCGCCCAACATGTCAGTCAGCCCAGCGCCCTCCCTCCAACTCGCGGAGTATCTCGAGAAGCTCCCCGGCACGACCTTCCGCAAGCTCTACCAACAACCCTCAACCGCGTTCGCCATCTTCCGTCGCATGCTCCCGCACCTCGGTTTGTCACCACAACCACTACACCCGCCCAATCTCTAACACCCCCCTAGCAAAGACGTTTGTCATGCGCATTCTCTACTCTCCCAAGCCCATACTCCTCAGCGATCTAGATGACTGGGTGAAACCAAGCCATAAGCGGCAGAAAGACCAGGCGTTATCGATCCTGCGCGTTCTGCACATCGTTTCGATCACGGCGCCTTCGAAGGAACGACCGCAGGAAATGCAACTTACTACGAACTTTAAACTATCCCTTCGACTCGCGCTATCAGGCGGTGGTACACACAACTCCTTCGGTGTGCCGTCAACACTCCAAATCCCCCCCGAAATCGACATCGCCTTCCTCGATCGCTACGCCCGAAAGAAATGGGAAGACATTCTGCACTTCGTCGTATCTAGTGTTGGCTACAAGAGCGCCGGCGAGTCTTCTGGACCGAATAAGAGCGTGAAAGAACTCCTCGTCGCGGGCCGTCTCGTCGATCGTAAAGCAAGCGGCAGCGTTGGTATCACACAAGCTGGTTTTACCTTTTTGCTGCAAGAGGCCAATGCGCAAGTATGGACGCTGCTGTTGCTTTGGCTGGAGGCTATGGAGGTGAATAAGATGGCTGGGCTGGAGGCTACAGATATGCTCTCGTTCCTCTTCGTACTCGCCAGCATGGAACTTGGTCGCGCGTACGACACGAATGCGCTGACGGAACAGCGTAAGAACATGTTACCCTCGCTTGTCGACTTTGGGTTGATTTACATCCCTAACCACAAACGATCCATGTTCTTCCCGACTCGTCTGGCTACAACCCTCACCTCGAGCAGCAATAGTCTTCGCAGCATTAGTGATGGCGTTGCAGCCGCTACGGCAGCTGCTCTTCAACCAGGCCAATCCGGCGCACCAGGCGGAAGCGTGACCGCCGCTAATACTGAGCAGCGCGGCAGTGTGATTATCGAGACCAACTACCGTATCTACGCCTACACTCAGTCAACACTTCAAATCGCCGTCCTGGCCCTCTTCACCAAACTCGCAATGCGCTTCCCCGACATGGTCGCCGGCCGAATTTCCCGCCAGTCCATCCGACAAGCCATTCAATTCGGCATCACCGCCGAGCAGATCATCTCCTACCTTTCCGCGCACGCACACGATCAAATGCACCGCACCGCGGCTCTCAACAATAAACCCGTTCTTCCCCCCACGGTAGTTGATCAAATTCGTCTGTGGCAGCTCGAAAACGAACGCATGAAGACAACGAGCGGATTCTTATTCAAGTCATTCGAGGATGATAGGGAATACAAAGATATTGCAAGATTTGCTGAGGAGGTGGGTGTTTTGGTGTGGAAGAATGATGCAAGACAGATGTTCTTTGCGAGCAAGCATGAACAGATTAGAGATTATATGAAGATTCGCAAGAAGACGGAATGAGAATATTTTCGCGAGATGGGAAAAAAGGGGGAGGGTAAGAGATCTACAGCATTGGAGTTTTTGGCGTCGACGGGATATTTAGAGGCGACTTTCCAAGTTATTTCCACTCGAAAGCCGGGGGCCAAGATGCGGTTGGCGTTGGATGTTACTACATTTCCGGCTAGAATTTGACTACAGTTCGTTATTAAGCCTGTATGCGACTTGAGCAATGTCTACAGGATCTCATGGCGATCTTCTCGTGGTGGATGGCAACAGGTTATTAGCCTTCTCAAGATAGTACTGAAGGATGTTCTCACTTGGGGTACAAAGAGACTTGAGACCCCAAATGGTATGCAAAAAATGAAAGCCTGGTCAAATCTTAGTATCTACTACACCTAACCCATACAAATAGTCAAAGTTAAGGACTTGACATATCTTTCTATAACTGTCTATTTTAGGATCCCCATCACTTGTGACTAAAGTCTCACTGTTTCTTTTACCCCTTGGCCGGGACACTCTCATCATAAGCATTCACATTCGCACCATAAGGTTACTAAGAATTCGACATTCGAAAGACATTAATTATTTCATAGCTACAGCATTACCTGCGTTCCTTCATGCCTCTTCAATCATGATACAAACTCGCTAATAAAAACAAACAGCTCGGGCTTCGACACCTTGCGACTTCATCAAGGAATAAATCGCTAACATAGAGGTGTACCACAATGCCAACTGTTGGCTGTAACAAGTCCCTTTCAACTATTATACACTTTAAAATGATTCAACCAGTGACAAGCGAGCTCAGAACAAAGCATAATCATGTGTATCCGTGTTTGTCTTTTTACTCCAACAAAGAGCATTCAGTTGATGGAAACCCGCTTCCCGCGTCCTCTAACCGCAGGCACGGGCTTCGCCTGTCTAGCAATTGGGACACGAGATTCGCTCATAGCTGGAAGGATTCGTCTTCCTCCTTTGTTTTGGTTTGTGCCAAAAAGCTTGCCCATCAGACTCTTGTCCTCCATGCGACCTCCCTGAGGGAGGAGTTGTGGCTTTCCCACACGACGGGCATATGACTGCTGCCAGGCTACCAATGACCGGCGTGCTTCGCTCGTGATACAAAGACTTTCGAGGTGTTGGAAGATTCGCAGGCATCTAGCATCCTTATTACATGGTGGGGTGCGAGGCTTTGTTCCAGTTAGACTTGTAAGTGCCGATGTGGTGGTGGAGTGGGAGAGGTGAGTCGGACGGGAGTTGACAGCCACGCGATCGGTGGTCATTGCGTGGTGCTGAAAGAGGTTCCCAGGACTCGAGCCCGAGGGGTTAGCCTCCCCATTGCTGTATTCTTCGGCTAAGAAACGATCATGCAGAGAAACAAAGCGCCCAGACCAATATGCAGATGGTTGTGATGTGGTGATGTGCCTGGGGTCTGGTTGCACTTCTGTCGCCGTGGTGCCTGAGCTGCTGCTGGATCGAGAAACTAGAGATGCTCGCGACAATCTAAGTCGTGAGGTAGTTGATGCGAATAAACTACTTGTTGAAGATGCAGACGTTTTGCGAGATGATGGGTCATCGGAATCATGGGAGGCTGAGAGTTTAGAGTTGAGTGAAGATCGGGAGATGGATGTTTTAAGATCGCTCAAAACGGTCAATGTTCGTGACTTTGGAAGATGGCTTTTGTTCTTTTGAGAACCATCCTGGGGAACATGTTCCGGGAGAGCTGACTTTTTATGGTCGGAGGGGGGGAAGTTCTCGTCTTGAACAGTGGATTCGAAGCTCAAGTCCTCATAGATAGACTGGAATGAGCTGGTTGTGGGCAAAGGCTTTATTGGGGCAGCACTCGAAAGGCACTGATGCGAAGATGAAGTAGTGAGGCCAGGCTTCGGGGAGCTAAGGGTTCTCTTTGTTGTGGGCAGATGAAATTTTGTTGTCGGTATGCGGGTCTTTGTTGAAGTCGAACAAGAGGCTGCGTTCAGATTGCAACTCGAAGTTGCAGTCAGCCCAGACCTGGCAACAGTAGGGGGACTAGCAAGTGATCCATGTGCCGAGAAACTAGCACAGATTCGTCGAGTTGCTTTCCTAGCTTCAACGTTTTCTTTGTCTGACAATGACTCGTCTGAACCGCTGCAGTCTTTGATGGTGGGAACAATGATGAGGGTTTCACTTCGAGTGAAGTCGGGACCTCGAGAATTCTTGACAGGTCCAATTGGACCAGAGATAACAGGACGCTTCTTCTTTCCTCGTGAGAAGACATTGGATAGGGTGGGTAGACGAGGTCGAGAAGAGGATCTGTGGAAGCCAGTGCTGTTTCGAAGAGCCTCCATTGTTGTTGTAAGTCGAAACGGAAGCTAGAGACGGGATGATGGATTTGTTATTGTATTAGATGGGCTCTCCCTCTTCAACTTGCAACAAGAACCAATGACCCAGAGGCGGAAGAATCGAGAGCAGGATAGCTCGAAAAAGAATTAAGGGTAGCGAAGGTCGAGAAGCCAAAACGGCTCCAAGGAAGTAAGTGCGTGCTTCTTTGACTAACTCATCGAAAGCGGATTCAAAAATGATCCACACAGCGAAGCGTATTAATAGTCTGTATCGAAATTGTTCCTAATTATCTCTCCGAAAGAGAGGGAACAAGTGAACGTTGTTGTGGCGTAGACGACCGGCAGCAAGGAGAAGGACCAGAATAAAGAATCGTTCGTAGAACATGACGCTGGGAACAGTAAAGAATGGGACAGTATTGAAGAAGGGTGTGAATATTAGCGATTGTGTGTTTGTTTTTGGGATGCGTTGCCTGGAGACGTCTGGTTTGTTTTGATGTGTTGTAGTGAAGTTTTGCCAGTGTCAGTGTTAGGTCAAGCTTTGCGCTTTGACAGTGATGAACAGTTGACAGCTGCATCACCTGCTTGCGCAAGAGGAAGTCGTTCCCCGGGGCAGTTCTTCCCCCTACCTTGTAGAGGAGCTACTGCTGTTATTATCACTAAAATAGCGAGCCGGGTAGGAGCTCATTGTGGTCTTAATATCGAGTGGCTGTCTATTCTTTGTCTAAAGCTTCTTATCCAATGCATCGTCTTCGTGACAACCATCTCAACACCGTCTACAAATATCCATTTGTCTCTCCATTTGTGCTCCCATTACAAAACTCATCATTCCATCCATTGATCTCAAACTCAAACTTGAAATCGCCTTCTCCCTTAGGCACCGCATTGCCATTTCCATCCCAAAGCGCCCTCTCCACCATGGTGACATTACCCTCCCAATCGACCAGAACCACGGTCTGTCGCTGGGTGCCGTACATGCCAGTCTCGAAACCCATGATAGGTGTTGTACTAGGATCCGGTCGACCTTCGGATATCAGCTCTTCAGCAGCTGCTTGATCATCTGTCCATTCACCGGGTCCTTTCGCCATGGCCGCTTCCATTGCCTTTCGATGCTTTTCGTCGCCGATTAAGGGGATGAAGACACTCTTCTTGAGCTCGTGGATATATTCGACAAGACTGGCGTTTTCGTTCCTGGGTAGTGTGTCGTGGCTGAGAACATCAAAGAGGTCCGAAACAAAGTCATCCTTGCTTTTCTTGTCGGATACAGATTTATCGATGGCTTCTCGGAAGAGCTTCTTTCCCATGGCGATCTTGGGCCATTCGTCTTGTTTCCCTGTCGCATCGAAGGCTGTGTTGCTCAGACCCCAAATCTCACCGCGCTCTTTGGCGACGATGGGCACCTCTTCGACGTTACCCGCCCGGTTGCTTACAATCGCAATACCTTGAGTCTGCTTCCTCAGCTTGCCGCAAACCATGGAAAAGCCGCCGACGCCCTTAACGCCGTCGTTCTTGACCAGTTTGTGGACGCTGTCCTTGAGGCTCTCTTCGGGCGGTGTTCCCAACCAGGCGGTGACCATACCGCCCCGGCTTTTGGCAGCATGAATAGGGTGGTTCTGGTCCTGAACATCTGTTTCTCGGTAATTGGTGAGTACGGCCATCAGACCGTCCTTGCTAATGCCCATCCATGTTCCTTTCTCTGCTCGTTGAAGATCCCGTGATGATAAGACTGGTCGACCAGATGTACTGTGAGTCCACCAGTGAGGCCGCGATGTAGGCCTAAGAATGAACTCGTCCCGATTATCGATGGCAATTAATGCATAATCGGGATGCGCAGTAGTGAGAAGTACGATGCACATGGCTTTGGTGGCTTTCCACTAATAAATATGTGTGTCTTGCTTTGTTGCAGTATGATTCGGAGATTTTGTCTGTTCCTGTAGTGACGTTGAAGGTTGTTGACGCAAGTGGCATTCATAAATGTTGAACCCGTTGAATAGCTTACAGTGGGGGGGGATCAGCGCCTTTAAGCTTTAAAGACCCCCTAATAAAAAAGTGCCTTGGCGTGTTTGCCTCGTCATGACAAACACGTCAGTTTCCCCTACTACGTGTCGTGTTCCTGAGTTGTCCCTCGGTAAGATAGCGTCCCTCACTTGAGTTAGATGCCGAAATGATCTGATGTCGCGGCTCACGGGCTGCGGCGGTCGGCTTCGGGATGTCGCCCCCAGCTCCAGCGAGTTGCGTTGCGGGGAATGGGAATGGGAACAGCTGAGGCTTAGAACGTGGGATGACAGGGCGTGACAATCCCACGTGAAAGACGCCTGATATTTTGTATGAATCCTTGCTCGTTTAGATCGATCCAGATTGCCGGGGGTCTCCGGTCTCAGATCCTTTCTATTTGTGACTTTGTGTCTGACAATTAGTCGCCTTGTTAATCATCGCTTGAGATCACACCACCCTCAACCATGATATGCTGTTTGTGTTTGACATCAAGGGAACAATCATTCGTGGGCAAGAAAATGTTTTATTTTGTGAAGCAGAGTGCAATTCCCTCTGCAATTCGATTACCAAACATGTAGTTGTTTTTGCTCTTTAAACATAATCGTTGAGCATTGCTATTTTTAGTTACCCGTGTAAGTGCCTATCATTTGAACCTCGACAGAGACGCCGATTACATGACACACACCAGAGTCAAGGCATGCCGGGCTTCTTGTTACACTACGAAAAATCACACGTGATATTCTTTCCCAAGTGAACTCTTCGAAACGCGACTGGCATTCCCTCACAATTGCAAGATTGATTAAGTGAGGCAGGGTGTGGCATTCACAGGCAATGCAACGACGGTTCTTAAAGGTGGGCCCAGATGGGCTGTCAAGAAATATGCCACTCCCGTGAGCGTATCAAAATGCGTGCGCATCAACTGTATAAATCTAAAGGTTATAATGAGTATCTGGCAATTCGTTGGTCAATCCCTTTTTTGGTTTCGGAACGCGCGCATTTTCAGGGGTAATTTGAACTATAATGAAGCCATGGCATCTCGTCTAAGTCGTGAGCCTCAACGATATGGGTCCTCATCAATTTCGTATCATGGCCATGATTTTCGTATCAAGTGGGACTCCTCATATTCACCGTAGAAAGATCGATTCTCAAAGATGCACAGTGGTTCGTATAATGCTTGTAATAATGTCAGCATGTTAAACAACAAGCCACTCATTGCTGTGACCCTCACAACAGCATGCTCGGTCAAATAGGGCTTTGGTAGGCAGCAGAATTCTCATAGTGACTTTCTAGGGGAAGTTATATGGTTCGACTAAAAGTCTGTAGGTGCTCTCAGGTTTTCGTGTCTCCAACTCGGAGTGACATGGAAATGTGCTATGGATGCCCTGCCAGCAAGTACTCCTCTGGTGATCGTCTCAACTCGACCAAATTGACGCCAAGTACTCTGAATATCTCTCTGATTTGAAACAGCTTTGTTAGAGCGAGGGACATGAAGATCTCGTGAGTCGAAGCATTTAAATGCTATCATGTTCGTCTATCCCGCCAGAGTGGCGTTATCTACTTGCGTGCGACTCTTATCCCAAGTCAAAAACTTCATTTAGTTCAATATTATACAAGCTTTCATCTCGAGCTTTGGATCTCAAGGGAAATATGATCATGGTTGCGTGTAGCAAAAGTTTATCCTCGGGGACAGGCGAATATCTTCATACTGTAGCCCCCCTGACTCACTGATGATCAAATACTTTCTTCAAGAACAAGCTTAAATGGATTTGATACCCGTCGCGCAGGGGATACCCAATCATTTAAGGGGACTATTCGAGGATGTATTATATCCTTTAGCATGGAAATGCGCGCAATATGACTGCCTCCGTCTCAGTGGTGATATCACCCCCAGCTTCACTTACGCACCAAAGTATACGATTTCCTCTTGATTAAATAACTTCCATGTCTTGATATGTCTTCCTATCTTTTTACTATAAATACGATGCAGTATCCTTGTCTTTATTGTTTCTTCTCTTTACTCTTTATCACAGCGAAACATCTCGAGTTCCTCACTCTCAATCACATAAGAACATTTCGACTTCTTCATCTCTATCACTTCGAAACATTTCTACCAAACAGTAAGTCATTTTCACCTTAAGCTTTCATGGGTAACTAACATAGGTAGTATCACTTCACACTTGACACAGAAGTAAGCGTCTAGAATATCCACCCTGATATCAAACTTACTTCTAACCTGCCATCAAACACTATGTCGTGTTTTACACCAATCAACGGTCATGAGGTGGAAGAGAAGCGCGCTCAAGCCAGAAGATGCTACTGGTGTGTTGTCACGGGGTCCGTGGAGGAGTGTTGCAAGCACGCTGAGGAGGCAGACGCAGACTTGCAGCACTGTCAAGGTGATGACGAGATGCAGCTTTGCGAAGAGGAGGAAGCTGCAGTTCAGGAAGAGACGGAGGGGACCATTCAGGCGGAGAATGAAGCTCCTTCTCAAGCGGCCGCGGAGCCACCCGTCGTCGAGGAAAGAGCCAGTATGGAAAGGGTCAGCAGGAGCGGCAAGGTCAACAATCGGAAGACATGCCCCATATGCAGCGGCAAGGAATACAACATGAGCAACTTCACGGATCACATGAAGGTCCACAGGCTGGAAGTGTTGGGGGTACGAGCTCGTCATCCTTGCGAATGCTGCAAGGACCCCAGAAAGTGTCTCGTGGCTCCTATTCCCCTGAATATCGAGACGTACTCCTGCATATGTTGCCTCAGGGCCCATAAGAAATGCAGCTTCAATGGGCTTAAGGGGCGGGGTGAGAAATGCAAACCTGGAGTACATCCCGCTCTGGAGCGCCGAATAGATTTGTAGTTTTGGTTTCTGTGGTTCAGTAGTTGGGGTTATTGTGGTCTTGGAGTTTAATGGTTCATAGGGAAAATGTTAGAAAGGGATGGAGGAAAGTGTCTTTTGGCTTTTCTTATTACCATGGTTTGTAGCATAGTAATTGATCCGATCTATGGACGGGACACGAAGCTTTCTTGATGTCAATGAAAATGTTCTATGTTGTTTTCTTACTCCCCCAAGTCATTCATCTTTTTCCCCCTTCTAATCATTCAGTCCAATTTCTATGTCTACATTGATCTCGTAGCACCACATCGAGTTGACACTGCGACATGCAGCATTACTACGCCGGTTGACCTGATTCTATAGAATACCTCAGCAGTGATTCCGATTCTGTAGTATAACCTACCGGCGGCTGCTCCAGTCCTATAATCTCACTCGTATTGCATGTTTATATGGCAGTGTGCTACCTCCTTGAGGTTTGGTACAGGGCAATAGACTGGTACTTTAGTGACCCCTACGTTATCTATTAACATAGTAACAGAACCTCCGATCTTCAAAGCTTTCTGAATCTGGAAACCTCGTGTCCGGAGTAGCTAGCTACCAAGACATCTGCAGGCGTTGTCTTGGTAAGTTTTTTATGTGCATATTTGTAGAGTTTAGTAACAAACAAGACGCTTCTATTCATGTTCCCGATGCGGTAACCAATTCAGAGCTTGAGACATATTCTAGAAGGATTTAAACTTTATTTAGGCCGAGGAGGGGACTTATATATCTCTAGCTCAAACTTAACGCCAACGTCATACAGAGTGACCTTGACAGAAGCAATCATCAAGGGCAGAGCGGCCGGCCACCTTGCCCAGCCACAGGGCAACTGACAGGACTTGAACTTCAGAAGTAATGTTGCCAAATCTCACATTTGTTCAGTTTCGTTACTGCAAGATTGACGGCTTCTGGATGAATCCTAAAACTCAGTTTCATGACAGTGTGGGGATATGCTGCTTTGCCTCATCGCTCTGTATTAATGTTCTTGGGAATTTGGTAGGTCGTGAAGATCTGAACCGACGCATCGTCTAGATTCATGGGGATGCATGCCATCAGCGAGAACTGCCCCTAGGGCTCTCGTGTATCTGTAAAGCTCGAAGATGATGGCTGAGAAGTTGGCTATCGGCCTCTTCAGCTAAAGGACTTGACCACCCTCCTTCGGGCAAGATACTGAGAATGAGCGACTTGATACAAATAAGTCTAAGAATTAAATTGACGGCGTAATTGAATGCGACTCACCTGGCTGTACTGTGACTTAAAACCCCATCCTCTCGATAACCTGGCTGTGCAACCCTAAGAGCTTCTCCAGTTTTGCTGTTATACGGCTTGGCTCTTGAGGTTTTTATGTTCGAAGAAATATTGCCAGGTATTTCAGACAGGCATTGGGGCTGTAGAGATCTCTTGGGAGACATTCATTGGGATGCATACTGTGGATCTCAGGGTTGTAAAGCCTTGCTTGCATCCTCAAAGTGTGCAACTCGTCGGTCTTCTCTTATCTACAGGCGCAGGACCACCCACAAAATCGATATCCATAGACTCGCCTCCCGTGCACAACATTCCCCTGACGTCTGGTGTATCTCGTACACAAAGTACGAGTGATGTAGAAAAGACGGTATGGTAGTGCACCGTCTTGGTGATGCTGCTTCCAATACTTTGTAGAGATTGCCGCCGTATTTGATAAGTATATGGCTATTGGTGTAAATTCTATGTGCATGCTAATGAAAGGGACAGAACTCAAGGAAGGGAGTTGTTACATGGCTCATGTAGGGTGGCCTTGAAACATTTGTCGGCATGAGTGCGAAACCCCAAAAATATAAGACTAATGTCAGCTGAGAAACGACAGCTAGAGACAGAGTAATATGAGTCGCAATGCGTCGAGACTTTGAATTAGCAGTAGATTCACTCATGGCGAGCAAGAGTATATACATATATATATTAGGATAAGAAGGAAAGGAATGAAAAGGCAGGCGAGGGAGAAGAGGGAAGCGGGAGGCCTTGACATTATATAGACGGGCCGCCATATGGATTTGTTATCTATTTCTACTTGCTATATACGAATGTAGATAATATTGGGTTATTAGTTGACACGGTACGACGAGTTTTATCGTGGTTTGTTGGGTTTGCCAGACAATATCGCAGATTGTTATGGTCAAACCAATAGGCAGAGCAACAGCAGCAGACCTTTTTTGCAAACAGCAAAGCCAATCAGCTTCATCCGCATTCACAATGAAACTACACATTATATCAGTTTCAGGATTCGGTTGCGGTTGTACGGCATTTTCATTCAAGTGACTGTCTCGTCACCATTCCTTGCGCTCATAATAACTGCGATATTGGCTGTTTGCACCAAAACCACGGCCGAAAAAATGGACAATTGTCGCAAATTTTGATTTATTTTTTACTTCTTTTACTATTTACACCCAAAATGCACCAAAGTTCAAACGTATACAACCCCGATTTCCTCGTGTTTTCCCTACCATGTACAATCAAATCAAACCCAAACATCAATCACCTCATCTTCCTTCCGTATACAGAACAGCCGTGAGAGTCACTTGCGGAGTGGAGACTTTGGTTCCGCAGAAGACCTCCTTCGCGTTCCGGGCTTCTTCTTCGCATCACCATTCGCACCTCCATTGTCTTTTGCCTCCTCCAGCGCTTCAAGAACAGCAGCCTGGTCGGATCTAAGAACCACGCCCTCGGCGATGACTTCATCACGGCAGACGAACTGCGGAAACAGAATCGCAAGAACCGTCGGTTTAGGGCTCCCCTTCGTCTTGCGAGCGTTGCCGACATCATAGTCGTCATACTGGCGCGCACCTCGAGAATCTTCCTCATCGGGCATCTCTGCAGTAATCATGTCGCGGGAGCGCTGCGCATCGGCCCAAAGTGCAACAGCCTGTCTGAACAGCGTCGGGACGGCATTATAGAAGCCAGTTTGCTTGTACGCCACGACAAGCGGGTGCAGTGTGCTTCGCACCTCGTTGCTCGCTTTACGCACAATGTCCTCTTGGACCGTCTCAGTTTGCTCGGAATCAGAGAGGGACCCGAGAATTTGAGAGCGATATACTGTTTCTCGCCGCTCGTCCCCTTTGAAGAAGCCCAGCATGCTAGATGCAGTGGCCCTCATGTCACTAGCGACGTAGAAGGGTACAAAGACATAAGATAGGAGTGTTTCCGCGATGACAGCGTCAGCGGCAGCACAGCGCATCTTGGCACTTGCTTTGGTGGTGCGAGTTGAGAGTGGGATCTTGGGGAAGCGGGCATGGAGTTCCTGGATCTCACTTGCAGAGTCCTAATAATCGTCAGTATAATTCAGAGAGCGCGAACGCGAAGACCTACATGTGCGCCATCGTGGTCGTTGAAATACTCATTGACAAAGTCGTGAACCTTCTTCGACAACTCCTGGAGATCAGATCGCCTGTGCCCGTTAGTTCAACCCATTTCCTATGGATCAATTACTCACAACTTCTTGACCTCCTCAGTTCCAAAGTCTCGCAAAATACCCTCACCCAGATCACTCTGCGCCTGCGTCAACTTCTCCTTGCATCCTTTCAACTCCTCAATGTTAGCCTCCATCTGCGATTTCTGCAACTCGCACTCCGCATTCATCTCTCTAATCTCAGAAGCGTGGCTCGTCAAATGCGCCTCCGCAGCCGCCAGGTTCTGCTTCAAATTCTCAACCTCTCCCTCCTTCACCTCCGCAGCAGCAAGTTTCTCCCTCGCTTCTTTGACCTCTCTCTCCATGGCTTCAACGGCTGCCTTGTTAGACTCATAAGTTTTATACTTTTGCTCAAATTCTGCAAAGAGTGTTTCTGTCTTTGCATTGGCCTGAGCTTTGTGGTCTGAGAACTCTCGCACGATCTTGTCGTTAAATTCGCGGAGACGCTTGTTCTCGCCCTGTTTGGTTTCGAGTTCTTGCTTTAGAGCTTCGCGCTCCTCGGCCGATTTCTCAAAGTCTTCGATTGAGCCGACATCTTTGGAGACTTCCTTCGCTAAAGCGAGGAGTTGCCATAATTTGGTGTTCTTGGTGAGTGTCTTTTCAGCCGTGCCATTGCCATTAGTATGGCCATTGACCTTGACCTTTGTATCTGCCATGATTGCCTGAAGAATAAAGTATCAATTTTATCGCTAGAAATGGTCGACATTTTAAATTCTTCGCTAAATACACGATCGGGGATTCTCAATTTTGAGGCCATCGCAGAGCCTCATGGTCTGTTCGTGGGCTTGAGGGACAACTCATCAGCACACCACCACACCGGTCAATTAAGCAAGTCATCTTCCACCCCGCCCATTCCTCCTACTGGTTCGTTTCCAATAGCTGTGTCCAATCCTCGAAATATCAGGGCTGAAGGGCGTTACACAACACGCGGGGTAACCCCAATGACATTGAGCCTTTCGGCACCATCATCGTCTGCAGAGTCGAGCCTCAAAGCAAAAGTCGTCGCAGTAGCCTATTGAGGTGTTTCTTGCTGTGTGACGGTGAGCGCATTGTTTGGACAATTGGCTATCGACGTTTCGGTATGCGGTCGCCTTGTGATGAATTGCCTGAGGCCCTTTGCAGCATCAGCCTAGTCTTGTGCTTCCTTTTCCTTCTCCTTCTCCTTCTCTTTCTTTCCCTTGTGTTTCTTTCCCTTATCTTCCTCCTTCTTGTCCTCCCCCTTCATCTCACCCCTGCCATCGCTGAGCCCAGATTTGTCGAATAGATGAAGCTCGACAGATTGAGGCACACCACCAAGGACAGGCTTCGGCAAGACTTGCTTGTGAACGCTGTACCAGCTCTCCTTGTCCATGAGCTCAAACAGGACTTCTTCTGATTCGTGGCGAGGCTTGGTGGCTAGGAAGACTTTTGTAGTAAATGGTTCGCCTTCCGGAAAGTAGGTCAGATTTGCTGCATGAATGGCTGAGAGCGTTTCGACGAGTGCTGGGAGCATGTCGACATTGTAGGTACAGTCGCTGAGCATCACGAGATCCCAAGGTCCAGATCGAACCTCGGGTCCAAAGCGACCTTGTCTGCCCTCCTCCCAGTCAAGATTTTCGTAGAGCATTCGAACAGGGTTCTCTTGGAAGCGTAGATGAGAGTTTTCCAACCTCTTCATATTAGATCTCGCGCGCTCCTCAGCTTCTGGTAGATCGGTCATGAGAATAGTGCAGTCGCCACCTGAAGGCTGCAGTCGGGGGTACACAGCGGCGAGCCCAGCACCCAAGATACCCACACCGCAACCCAATTCCAACACACGGATCGACTTCTGGCGGCTGAAGATATTCTTCATTGTTCTCATGCAGGGGTTTTGGCTAGACTCGCTATCGGGAGCAGTCTCGATACCTGCAAGTGCACACGTCGCTATCACGCCTCCATCCCAGATGTGACGCGCAATACTCTCACCGATCTCCTCCTCAATCTCAATCGTTCCCAGCCCCTCGGGTATGTCGTTCAGTTGAAGTCTTCGAATAGACACAGCATTGTCTGCGGGTGTGAGAGTTAAAGGCACCCAAGCTGGCATGACAGCGCCTTTCTCTGCAGCTTCCTTCCGATACCGCATCTTCTCAGCCGACAAGGCCAGAATGCGAGGGACGCTTTCGGCAGTGTGAACAGGTTCTGATGCCCGAACGCAAACATGGACTCTCATTCCAGATTCGAGAGCTCGTTCGAGAGCGACGGGCATTTCCAATGCTGGCTTTGCAACGCGCATGCCGGGTTCCCAGTCAAGATGTCCAGGATCTGAGAGGAGCCATGTTGAGCTTCCTTCGGGAGAGGCGGCGATGGCAACAACTTGGAGGTCTAGAAATCTCTCTGGGAAGAGAAACGAGTCGCCGAGGTCTGTTGTGATGGTGAAGAGCAGCTGAACCAGGGTGCCGCGGCGGTTCTTAATCACCTTGGGTGGCCCCAGGAATCTGACATAGTGCATTGTGACGTGATGAGTCTCTCAATAACTCAGAAAGGGCCCGGATATCTCTGTGTTGATTCGACCCCAATTGACTTGCCAGGTGTTGTAACTTTTGTCGTTCTTGTTGTTTATTGAGCCTCGGGTTGAGCTGATCAACCCAACCTCTCGCATGAGGTGATGGGGAATTTTGACCAGCTACTGCACGCTTAGTCATCACCGCTGCATTCACATGAATCCAATCTTAAGTGAAGCGGACTGTTTGGAATTATACAAGATGTTTTAAAAATGTCATAGGTAGTAAGAATTGAAGCACTAGAGGGAGTCCGCTGTTTCTTTAACTACAAGTTAACTGATAAGCACCTTGTGATGCTGTGAAATTTGATAGTCGCTTCACAAGCATTTTACCATCAATCAGCTCCATCGACGCATTTGAAGGCCACACCAACCAGCTGAAAAAAAATGACAAAGGCTTGAAGATAACTTCTGGGTTTATAAGAAAACCCCCCCAATGATCTAGGATAGGCTCTAAGAGGATGATGTTGAGTCGATGTTAAACATCATCTTTGCAGTGGAAAGTTACCTACCCGAGACTTTCTCTACATTTCCAGGTGCCAGTGCCACCAGGTGGTCAGAGAAGAGGAAACATTGAAGTAGTTAGAGACATATGAGGTAGAATTAAACATGGCTGCCAATTAAGTGATTGTTTTACGTTTAATCAGGACTCAAAGTGGATAAAGCCCATGCCCTGTTAATCACGTCTTGACGAACCGTTCATGCGTTATATATATCCTGAACCCAACCCTCGCAATAACACATTCGCAACACCGCGAAACATCACTGCAATGTCTTCTACCACTGAGAAGGATGGAGATCAGCTACGCGGTATCCTGCAGACCAAAACCTGGTTCGGGTTCGATCTAGACGATACTCTACATGAATTCCGCACGGCCAGCCGTGCAGCAACCACGAATGTTCTCACCCGCATTGCCAACGAAAATCCATCAACAACGCTCCAAGACCTTCAAACTCAATACGGAATCATTCTCAAGAAAGGAACCGCTGATGCATTCACTGACGGAAAGACCTCACATGACTACCGTCGCGCTCGCTTCGCTGCCACACTGAGCCATTTTGGATTGAGTCACGATAGTGTCGATGAACTTCTGGAGGACTACGAGCGTGTTCTTGTGGATAACTTGACACTCAAACCAGGGACCGTATCTCTTCTTGAAGCAATCAAGGCGTCCGGAAAAAAGATTGCTGTTATCACGGAAGGGCCGCAGGACGCACAGCAGCGAGCAGTAGGAGATTTAGGCGTTGACAAGTACATCGACTTTCTAGCGACTACAAACTTCTTCGGTGTGGCCAAGATCGATGGACTTTTCGGCAAGGTACTTGACCATCTGAAGATCAGACCGCAAGATATCGTGTACATCGGCGACTCGCAGGAGCGCGATATCGAGCCTGCTTCCAAAGAGGGGATACTCGCCATTCACTTACACGAAGCTCAAACAGCGCCACTTGTAGTACAACCTCCCAGCATCAACTCACTCGAGGTACTAGCCAAGCTCATCTAACCTCTGCTGCACACATGTCTGAGACGAGACATGCTCGTAACCGTCGACAAAACACCGCGTTACAAGGCTGAGAGAAATATACCCGCACATATGTAGCTCAATCGATACACCCGTCAAACGTGTCCGTCTCTCACAGGATAGTCCCGACTTTTCTTGATCACGACAACATGCTGCGTCTAACAAACAAATCAGACAAGTGCAACGTTTTGTGCAACGTGAAGCTTTTTCAGCTGATGTCGTACATAATCATCCCACGGCACTGGGCCGAGACATCCAAGTATCATTGAGTTCTACAACAGGGTATATCTTGCTACTTGAGAGGCTGGACTTAGCATTCTATAATTATTTACTGCAAACTCAGCCTTGTATGCACTGCTTACGTTGTGCATATTTTGTCGGGGTTACCTTACTCAATTCCTTCTGCAGGCTGAGCCTCGCAGCTTAGGTATGAATCCAGCCCGTGAGTGTTACACACCTGTCATCCCAGGATGTAATCACGGCTACACGCATTGCAATAATCCCAACCTCCCTCAAGGGATTACGGGCGTCTTAGACGCTGGCGCACGGGGGCACTTTGCCGGGCACACATCACATCACATCGTGGTGTGGTATCAAGGTTACAGTTGGGGGTTGTTCACAGAATAGAAATGTGCTCTGTAGAACCCCAACATGCAAACATTTCTAGACTGGGATAATTTTCTCACTGCGACCTCAATCGAGACCCCCCTATCGTCTTATCACATCACATTGGATCACATGTGCCTCTCAGATGCAAGATCCAGCATATCAATCTGGCCCCCAACCTCTCTTCCCCTCCTCTACCCTCCATATGCCACACGTGGTAAAAACCGCGAAGAAAGAAAAAGCAAGGTAATTCACGTCTGCACTCATTGGTCTCGTAGCCGCTCGCTGCACCCACACCACCACTAATCCTCTCTCAGTAACAGCCTTCACCCACGAAAGAAACTTTTACTAAGTAGAAAATGGCTGATTGTGACGGTCTCATACATGACAGAGTTCACTGTCCAGCAAAAACTCAAGATACGGCATTCCCGGAACAACGTCTAACGCCTCAAGCTTCTAGCTCAACTTTACGAGTCAAGGGAAGGATTCATTCCACAAAGTCCCCAACACCATTTCTCAACGGCATCTCCACCTTTGTTTGATCTGAAACCCACTGATTCCAACGTTTAGCTCCCTCCACCTGCAAGTCATTCTTTCAAAGTTTCACACATTCCAATGCCCCAAGCCCCCAACGCGAGTCGTGCAAACTGGCTGAAACAAAGCCTCAAGTCCTACGGTAACGATCGCTGGCCAGGTGTTCATCGTCAAATCTTGTAATATCCCAGTAAATTACATCACAATCATGTCAACCAATCCTTCAAAAGTAAATGTCTGTTGCTTCAATTCAAGGGCTCTTGAAACTGCATGACGCATGAGTTGTCCAGGGGTTGCTTGGCCATGACCTCATGCCGGATCGTCCATTCACTAACCCACGTTGTAAAAGTAAAGTGCCTCAAACCAAGCCATTTGCGTTTATACCCCTCTCGCTCTTACGCGGGGTTCGTTAAAACGGAAACAAGAGGGGATAATCACGTCGAAACAGGATCAGGAAGTTCTATCACCAAATGCGGTACTGTACATGCACCAGACGATATTGGGAGTCAGTCACATCAACTTCAACGACATCACGAAAAACAGAGAAAATTGTGTAGATAGTTTGCGATTTTTTTGCCTAAATATTAAAATATTCGAAATCAAAAGTATCCATCTTGAAAGTGGTATAACCAATCCATAACGCCCCCAACCCCTCCTCATAGGTCTAATGCATGAGGACATTGTTTCCATCCATCAATGAGGAACGTTAAAGACGTCAGTCAAATCCTCCAGATTACCGTGTAGTAGCCTTCCGTTCTAAGTGTCAATCACTTTTGTTATCCTAACGCGCGCTGATCCCAAAAGACGAAATAATAATATCCAAGCTCCAAAACAAAAAGAGTAAAATAAGAAATCGGAGTCTGTCGCTCCTTGTCATCACTCAAGATGACTCGCTTGCTCCCCCTCGCCAACTGCTCGCGTCATTCCGAACGGAAAAAACACTGGGTATCTCGAATTGGAAGAAAAAGAAGCCCCCTTGATATCGATCCCCTCCTCCGCGCGCGCGTTTGCATTGCTGGTGGTACAGGTCGCCCCATGAGTCTTGGTGTCTTTGTTTCGATTGCCAAGTCAATAAAAAGAAATCGCTTCCTTGGGACGAGGTAGAGATGTCGTAAAAGAAAAGATGGAAATCCTTATGGTGGGTATGAGTGTGTGTCCAGGAGATCCGGGTAATAGTGGTAGTATACAACGGGTATGGGTATCCAGTCCGGCGAGCTTTGGTAAATATCACTGGCCGGTATCATAGGATCCTCAGGTATAGGTATGGTATGGTAGGTAAACAGAAACAATCCAGGGGTCCAATGGATGATCCGCTTATTTGGTAGGGTTCCGGAGAATTTCTTCACAGTTGGCGTCAAAGCGAAGGTTGAAGAGCCTCACGTTTTGCATAAACTTCTCCGTCTTGTCGAGCTCTCGGTCACGTCCAAAGAGGGTCTCAACAAATTCGACACCAGCATTCTTGCCAAGGCCAGCTTGCTTGCGCTTGGCAGCCTTGAGCATGGGGGCTTCACAAGCCTTGAGGAGGGATCGGAGCTTCTCAGTGAGGCGCTCACCGGCCTCAATGAACTCCTCAACAAGGTCACGGTTGTCAGGAGTGCGGACGCGACCAACTGTCTCCTCGGCTCGCTTGACCTTACCAGCGAGCTGAATGAGAAGCAGCCACATCTCACCAGCCATATCAGAGATGGGAGTGGCAGGACCTTGGTGGTAGACGGTCCAGTCATAGATCCACTTTCCGAGACTGTTGGCATCAAAGACACTACCTAGGAGAAGGATGGGCTCTTCGGCAGGGTCCCAGTTCTTGAGTGAGTATCCAGCAGGAATGCGGTGCTTGCGAGCATCGGCATCAGTAGCCTTGGGAGTAGAAGGGGTAGAGGCGGGCTTGCTGCGGTGTGAGCTAGCGGGACGGACAGTCTGTGGCCGGGGAGGGGGGACCGCGGTGGAGGATCGACGGCTGTGGCCGAAGCTGGTAGGAGGTCGAGGTTGAGGCTGAGGCGACTGGAAAGCAGAGGCCTGCTCTCGTGTGTAGTAGTCATCGTAGATAGCGGCGGTGGTAGCACCCTGCAGGTAGTCGTCGTAATTAGTGTACCGTCCCCGGTCATCATCAAAGTCTCGAGGTAGGAAAGCGGATTTGCGGTGATGATTGATCTTGGAGCGGGACTGTGCAGGAAGCACATATGTATGTCCCAGCGCCTCGATGATCTCGTCCTCGTCGGATTCTCCATATGGGGTGGAAGCCCGGACATAGGTAAATGAGAATCGGCGGTCGCGCTTGGAGCGCGGAGATGACTCGGAAGGCCTGCGCGACGAAGAAGTTTTGTGACTCACATCTGCCGTGCTATATTGCCCAATGCTGTTGTAGCGAGGCGAGTCCTTAGGAGGACGCGGGCTGAAGTCGCTAGCCTGAGAATAGCTGTTGAATCGCGAATGAGCCGCTCGCGTTGCTGGCCGCCTGGGGGTCGAGTCGGCCCAGGTCGGCCTCGGGGAAGGGGTGGGAGTTGCGGACGACATCCTCGAGTAGACGCTGTCGTAGTCGTGGATCGGCGTCGATCCAGGAGTTCGTGGAGATTTGTAACTCATGTTATTGTGTGGCGATGTCCAACTGACATCCGCTGTTTCCAGGGTTCAAACAACTGCTCTCCTCCCGAGCACCCGCAGTTGTCGTGTCGCTCGCGAGTTTTCGGAATTGTCTTCGTGTCTTTTTTTTTCTTGAGTTTTTCTAGTGAGTAAGTTGAGTTGGCTTGTCAGGAATGTCAAGACTGCATGCAAGCAGATTCAACGATCGAGATGCGCCGGGGAAGAGACGCCCAAGGGGAGGTGATGGAATAGGCCCGTCACCTCGGTATGTAGTCGGAGGAAAAGAGGTTAGAAGATTCTTTTGCGACGGCGAACATGACCAATGGGTATTTTATCTCTCCTCAACTTGGAGGAATAGGCACCAGATCCCGTAGAACCTGGTAGTAGTGTCGAGAAGACGCTGGACACTTCGAGGGTCCAGAAGCCAAATGATTAATTGAGAAAAAGAGCGATGACGTCGATGCAACGACGTGCTGAATAAGTCTTGATGAACTTGTTTGGGGATTCAGAGTGATTGGCAAGCGCCAAGATACGTGAAAGAGAGGAGGAAAGGAGGGTGAGCGGGAAGCAACAGACATATATATTCTAAGATTTGTGTGTCTGGGTGTGGACACCTCACGCACCGCACCGACTCCCAAACCTGCCTACACTACCTTAGCGGGTGATGACAGGGGAGGATGCTAGTGGGAGGAGGGGCCCGACCGGGGGTTGAGAAAAAAAAAGTCAGGACAGGGGGTATCAGATAGGGGCAGGGGGTGGAAAAGCCGCAGGCAGGCTTTGTGAGGGTGTGGTAGAATTGAGTGACTCTTCTAACAGCGAGACAGGGGTGCAACCTGGCTTATGTAGGCTTCGCATTTGCACTCTTCCCGCCGCTGAATTGATTCCAGTGGTTGCAGTGACTGCAGCGCTGTGCTGTGCCGTGCTGTGCTGCTGCGCAATGCTGAGTGAGTTTTGGGTGATTAATTTAGAATCTTTTGTACTCTTCAATGATTGACAGTCCAAAGTCGTGCGTTTATTCGATGTCGCTGGCGAGGACTAGAATCACCTCGAACTGATATGACTCAGAAAGAGGCAGTGTTGCTTGATTGATTGCGACCGAGTACAGCACTGTACCGTATCGTATCGTATTGCTAATCAGGGTGAAAGAAGAGACGGAGTTTAACGCTTAGTCAAAGCCCGTACTGTACGTGCGCACAGCCAATTTCTCTCCAACCAGTCGAGTCAACGTGCGCCGCGCACTGGCCTCAACTTTGATTGTTTGGCGAAATGAACCAAAACGGTGACGCAGTCTTTACCAGGACCACCGCTGCAAGGCCAGACGCTGCAATGCGGCCAAGTCTTGCTGGGTTTTCTGATAATTTTGTGGATGGCTGTGTACTCGTGTTTTTCTTTTTAAACGCCCTACCGCTTCCGCAACCCAATTCAGTTTTATCTTTTTGGTTGGGTACTGGTATTTTCGGGTTTGATCAATTATGATTCAACTCGACTTCTCACGCGCAAACTATGACTCAGTCTTGAATCACTCGTCAGCTAATATGTTCATGAACCAGGAGGCGAAAAAACACATCCAAGGAACAGGGGCAGGATATGACAACAGATAATTGTCGTGATAGGTAGGTAAAGAGGCAGCCTTTCATGTGAAAAGGAGCAAAAAAGAGCATGAAAAGTTGACAAGCCAATTTGATTGACTGCTTTTCCCATCCAATTCAGCTCTGAGTGTCATATAATTGTTCCAGGGTGTGTATATAGCAGCGCACTGGTGCTTGTCTGTCTCTCAACAACAAGACAAGCAGCAACCCGAGGGACACTGCACTCGCACACAACGCACACAATTCGACTTCCCCTTTTCTCCAGAGCCTCGTTTCTTTTCTTTTTTCTTATTCTTCTTGTTTCCTCCTGTATCACATTGAACCAGCCACCAAATGCAGGGAGAACAATGCTGGGATGAGTAAAAAGTGTGCGGATCCGACAAAAAGGAAAACGAGACGAGGCCACAGAAAAGTTTTCTTCAAAATGAACAAAAAAATATTATTTACCTGACGGACTTTTCGGGAGGCGGGGTTCAGTGCAGTACCGGGCTCCCTGATCGAATATTGCTTGCTTCTTTTTGACACAATGTCTCGTCTCGCACGCCTCTTTCTCACTTCTCAAATTCCCCTTGTTCCGAAATTCAACAAGCAACAGCCAGAACTCGCCAGGCCAGAAATTGGCTTGAATATTCAGACAGAGGGCGTGTCCTACTGAAGAGCCAGTTGAATTTACCGGCGGGGAGTAAGCGAGATTGACGGCCTGGATCCAAATCCCAAAGAATCCCAACGTCTTGCTGCAGCCGGATGTCCGCGATTCTCTTCCGGTGAAAATTTTTCCTTCTCCTTGGGCTTCTAGGCGCGCTGGCGGCAACCGAACCAACAGGGGGCCCAGCTCCAAAGCTCGCTCGGTGTGATTCAAGCCTGGCCAGGGCGCTCAGTAGACCGTTACAACCCCCTGGGCACACTTTGGAATATTAAAGTAACTTAGATTAATTAGGGTATTGGGCTGGGTAAGGGTATGGGAAAGTTTTCCTGAGGATACGGAAATACGAACGAAATGCTGACGCAACGGAGCGGCCAGCAAGGATGATGATGGACTTGGGGCGCCGTTTGCCTGGAGCTTGTGAATGTGGTCCTCGTAATCCATGCAAACACTATCAGCCTGGCCCTTAATAGCACTTGCTTGACACAAGTGCGACGCGAGGCTGGCGATGACTGGAAGCTACCAGTAGGCTACCACCTGGAGTCGTTGCGCCGTCAGCCAGTGAGTGGTTGGTCTTGTCGCAAGGCAGCCGACGACGATATCCACTGGTTGCTAGGGCTCTATGTATGTCAACAAGGCTGGAATGGATGGCGAATCATAAAACATACAATAGTTACAAGACAGTTTCCGAGCCTTAGAGCCTTGGAGCCTTGGTACGGATACTCGACTCGGTAATATGTTGCTGGCCTCCGATTATACGGCGTGGCATGTATTTAGGTAACAACAAGGCCTCGTAGAAAGCAAGAAGCGGAGAGTTGAATGGCGAAACTCCGCAAGCTGTGCCGCCGTGAGAATGGAGTTAACGGACAAAGACTCAGTTGGAAAATCAGGGAAGGCTGTCGACCTTTATCAACCAGCCTCAGGTTCTTCACACCATCAAGATTTATCATCACACGCTTACCACCAATACTTTCTCATTGGGCGGTTCCAGCGTGCGCGTACATACATCATCAGCAGTAGTAAATGGGTGTCGTGCATTTCCCCCAAGGGCTCTCACGCATGAGATTCTCTACCTTGTGACAGGTTCGCCTTGGAGGAATCATTACCACTACTTCTCCGCATCACGCATCACAAATAGCCACCGTGAATTTGAGGAACCGCCAATCGGTAGAAAACAATGTGATGGATGATTCGAGGGTTGCACATCGATGTTGCTACATTGTGCATGTGATGAGTTCCTCCGTCTTACGAATACGGATGATTACGGAGTTTCTTTTCGTTCTTTCTTTTTACAACTTTCCCTTTTGAGAAGTTTTGGAGTTTTGTAACCCTGTTCATTGTAATATTGATTTCGAGTCCTAGATTTTCACGGCAAAGACAGCGGTAGAAAATCAAGAGGCTGGGGAGTCGTCCCCTTGCATTAGTGACAATCACATCAGCTCCCTCACATGAAGTCACTGACAGTCAAACAGAGCTGATGATTGCCACCAATACAGAGTGATCTGACGAAAGAAGAATCGAGCGAACAAAAACCAGTGGATCGGATGTCAACAGCTCTTCTCCGCACGGCACGGCGGGCGGGGACCAAACAAAGATGGAGATGGAGAAACGGAAGACGGATATGGAGAGATCGTGCATTCGGTACTGGACGAGTTGGAAGCGCAAGCGCGACAGCGGAGTCGACACCCTGCACCGGAGAAGTGGCTCGCGAATGGGGTCGTTTCCATTCGATATGCGGCCTGCGACTGCAACGGCACTAAGGTAATGCTGACGGAACGAAATGGTAAACAGACCAGAAGAAGAGGCCTTCTACCCAGAGAGGGATAAGCGTCCCATGCGAGTCTCTCTCTAGCCCGCCTGTCACTCACTTCGAGGTCTTCCATTCTTCCATTCTATTCAACTCCATGGAATCGAAATTCCAATTCCACATCGAGACTTTTGTGTCGCACTGAAATGCTGCAGTTACTCACTTCCGGAAAGACAAGATACTTGGCATTCATCGCCCTTTAACTCGAACACCTTGTTCATAGTAAATCACGCCTCAATATCAATCATACTTCGCCCTTGAACCGCCTCCCATATCTAGAAACATATCCCGATATGCGCCGAACGAAAAAGGGAGGCCGTCGCTTTGATGAATTACCTTTTCTTCATGCCGATAGACTCGAGATTGGGCCTCGGCCCTTGTTCCGTGCTTTGCCTGTCATGGCTGGCATTTTGTCTGCACCTTTCCGGTCTGTGGTATTGATTGGGCAGAGCCTAACTCTTGACATCTTAGATTTCCATACCTTGATCGTTCATTTCCGTCTCAGATCTGGCAGGTATCTTTCTGTCAACTCCTTTTAAACATCTTGCGTCCGTGATTCAGATTTTCTCAGCTGGCTTGTAGCCATTTAAACCCCTGCCGTCGATTCTACGCCTTGAGTCAGAACGCTGAACAAGATGACACATACGACACAAAACAATTGAAAGGTTTCGACATTTCATGACATTTACATCATCAGTTTGACTCTGACTGTTGTATGATTCAAAAAGTCCTGGTATTGTCCTCCGCATCCGGACCGATGAAATCAGAGGTTTGATTGCGAGTGTCAACGCTCTGGCCTCCTTTACTTTCAACAACACCCAGGATCCCAGAAGGGTTTTATCCGGTTGTCGTTCTCACCAAAATGGACTCTGCTGGGATGACCGGACCGAAGATTACCTGTGCCCCGGGGCAGGGGACAAGGGTATTGATCAAACATCCTTGAAATGACCATGGATAGGGTTTGCAATGGCCGGCGATGGGACGGACGAAGCAGGGGGTGGATAAGAATTCCTGGAGCCGGAGTCAACAGGCCTCGGAGCTTGTGGTCATTGCCAGGGGGGATAGAGTCTGGACGGGCGTGTCTAGGGGGACCCTGACTTCCCGTCCAAGATGACTGACTCCCCCTGGTCATGGTGCAAAACGCGTGCCTGAGTCCCAGAATTCGGTCACTGAGGTCTAGCGGCCTTTGCACCGACGACATTGCCCTAATGGCCGATGCTAATGGCACCCACAATGACAGCGGCTGAGCGATCCAGACACGAGGATGGAGTCCTCAAATGGGTAATGGGTACGCGGGGAGATGATTCTGGCCTTTCAGAGGCTTGAGAGTTTCTCTAGAAGCTCGTCGCTGGTGGATTCGCGGATGGCGGACAACAGCCGGATGGAGTCTGCATCAAACATTGCCCAGCTTCAACCCCAGTCTGTCGTTGGTGTTGCTAATATTATTGCAGGACCGATGATATTTTCATGACATTTTACATTTTGAGAAAATTAATTTTGTGTGCGTGTGCCCACAATGTTAAATATTTGGCAAAAATCGGTCAGTGTGCAGCTCTGAGACAAGGATTTCCCACCAGATTACACGGGCTGGGCTGTGCGCTGGTCCTGACAATAAGACCAACACATTAAAACACCACGACAACGCAGCGCAAGCCAACACAACCCTCAGGAAAAGGGTCAAGAATGCGACTGTACAGTGTGTACACAGTCGACATTTCACTCAATAACAAGAGAGACCCGGGCGTTCGGTCTGAGCTTCCTTCACCTTGGCCTTGACCTGGGCCCGAGATTAAGGCCAGAGACAATGGGTCACATATAACTTACACTCCCCCTCGCACGCCCCCTTTTGGGCCCGGTAATGAATTTTAGAAAAAAAAATCGCGGCCCAACGCTATCCTGTGCTTGCTGCTGGGCACCATGTTTCATACGCTAATAATAAGAGAAGCCTTGCCCTTGTCATTGCGAGTTTCCCTGTCGGCATGTGGTACACAGCCGAGTCCAGGTTTAAAATTATCTAGGACTGTCTGTTGTGTTTATCTCAGAATACGGATAAACATGGTGTTGGCTTTGACAGAGCAACAGAGAAAGAAGATTATTGCGATGGACATTTTTGGGCATCAACAATTTGTCTCTGGTCTGAAGGTCTGGAGTATGTCTTGGTCGGTGTGTTTTGCTCTTCAGCTATTGTTTCAAAGAGCATCAGAATTGCATCTTTTTATCAATGGCTTCTGACGGATGTATGGATATGTATGTCCAACATCTAGACGCACACGCCCTCGCGGCGTATAATGTCGTCGGCCTTGTTGTTGTTGGCCATTGAGGTGGACTACCAATCCCCATTGCCATCCTTGTTCCATGCAATCCTCGATCACCCTTGTCAAACATGAATATTTTGCCTTTTTCTTACTTCAAGGATAAATTTTCATCGCGAGATGCCTTCCTTTATTGATGGAGTCTACGATAGCCTTGCTCTGTATCCAACAGCTTTGCCGCACTTTGAAATGACTGATCCATCGTATCGCTCGATATTCGGCGCTCTCGGTTGTTATTGCCATCATCTTTCTTGACCGATACTGTTCTCAATGGCCCTCCAAGTGGATGAGCCGGTGACTCATAGCTATCCCTTCCCTTGATGCTGGCGCTGACAGTGTCTGCAGCTCGATGCATATACCCTCTGGTTTGCTGTATTGATGTCCAAACAAACCCGCGGCCCCGTCATATCGGTCCCGCCATGCACCCCAAGTTAGAAGCCGATTGGCATTCGCCAAACACACTGCCTTGTCTAGCAGACGCAGACATACATACACAGACACGTTGCTGTGTGCACCACCATCAATCAAGCTTCACGATAGAGGGGAGGCGGCAGAGGGTACTACCCCTGGCGTGTAAGTGATGGAGGGGAACAATAGAGCAGAAAGAGCTCTTCTTTTGATCAGGACTTTTGCATGCGGATATGCGTCTGCAGAACCCTGGGTCTTTTGACAGACTGGCTGGTGCTTTTTGACTTATCCTTACACAACAGCTCTCCTCTATTCGCTGTATCAAGCGACGATATCCAAACAACAAAGCCAAAGCCCCTCCAAAAATAAATTCGAAAAAATAAATCGTCCTTGGCAACAAGTTTTCCAGGTTTCCCCTCCCCCTCCAACAGCCTAGCCAACCTACTGCGGACGCTATAACAACAAGGCGGTTTTTTTTTTCAGCTTTTTTTTCTCTCTCTCTCTTCCTCACCGACTCTTGCAAAAGACGGTGCCCGTTGCTCGGGTGCGTACCGTTGATGGGGATGCACCATCGCGGGGCCCTTTTGCAAAGACGGGCCGCTATCAGAGAAGCACAGCGCTTCAAGGACAGGACTCGAGGGAAAAAAGACGGACCCCTCGCCTGCAGCTCCCCGAGACCTAGATCACGACGTGGATGCAAAACGGCCAAGGCTGAAGGTATACAAGGACCAGAAGCTGGCCGCATAGTGACGTATGCAGGATCCCACAGATCCATCGCGGCTCTCAGTGAAACGTTGTTGATGAAGGTTCAGAGAGAAACTGTGAGTGTACTACGGTAGGAAATCTGCACGTTGCCAGTATCATGGCGTGCAGTAAAGTTGCTTCTCTAGTGTTTTCTAATGCTCAAGATATATACATACATTTACATATACATTACATTACATTTTGACTAGACTTCAAGCCGTTGCAGATGTAACTCTTCCGCTAATACAAGACAAGATCGAGCGCCGACGATCAAAAAGCACACCGCACCAACACCGCCGTTTTAAAGATCGCGGAACTAGAATGCAGTGCCCGCTATAGCGTCCTCCACATGGTTGACAAGGGCGATCACTCTTGATTCAACATTGCTTTTTCTTCTTTTTTTTTTCCACTGGGAAATTCTCATTTCGAAATGCATGAGAGCGCTTAAGGTGTGCTGCGAGGCCATTAGGGCAAAGACACGCAGCTGCATGCATTGCATATTTTAAAAGAGGGTCTTTTTGACATGTCTTCTGTTGGAGCGCCAACGTGCTGCTGTGCTGCATCACGATGGAGTATTATAGCTAAATTTTTTCCTGTTGTCGGTGACGAAATAGAAGCCTAGAATAATCTGATCCCGGTAGTCCCGTGGACAAGAACAGCAGAGAGGGGAGGAAGGAAGAGTCATACATGAGGTGAGCCCCTCCAGTTCAAGGCTCAGGCGCGTTCATGCCCAGCGGTTCTTGAAAGGTGGTGTTGTCTGCGTTGTCCATGCCTCGAGGGTGTAGTATGCTTGGTGCTGGGCCTTCGGGTCCGGCCGTAGAACAAATGAGATCCGACCAATGGATGCATTAGCACAATCTGCAGCTCGGGAACCAGAACGACATGTTCCCGCTCTTTCACACGTCACATCACATCTCAGTTTTGGAACAGCATAGGCTATGTACCAATGGCGAGATTAGGGCATGGCAAGAGGAGAGCAAGGGGTCGACATGAAGCCCTGTGTTATTATGCGATGCTGCACGGTTGCAGTAGGTGACCAACCCTAGACCACAGAATGAATATTCGCAAATCGAAATAACAGGGCGAACAGATAAATGAGGGAGAAAGTCGTGATAAGGCCTATTAGTTCGTGATGTTCATCATGATGCACTCAGTACGGCATGTGAAGAGGTGGTCTGCTGCCAAGTTTACCACCACCTCAGCGCTTACAGATCATTTGCTCGTGAGAATAGTAACATTGAACAGCAGGCCTCAAAATGTAGTGGTGATTTTTTTTTTGGTTCAACACCCACCCCTCCATTGCATGACTACTAGCCACGTGGGATGTGGCTGTGCATTTCGAGGGCCCAGCCACAACCACTCGGCCGGGTCCGCCACCGGGGTTCCGATTCGGGTTTGGGTTGGAGTCCGCGCACGGCAACGGTAGCGGCAGCGGCAGCGGGAGCATGTGATGGGTCCTGCAGGAGACCCCGTGGTTCCCGATTTTCTGGGTCCCGCATGCGGCCCCATCGACATCTCCATTTCATCGGGCTGACGTGACAGTTTTTGAGTCTAATTAATTCAAGTGACGTAGTAAGATATCAACCTCAAAGTGAATCACTTGAATGACAATTATTGCTCGTCTGTGACTGATAAGAATGACCGTGTCCCCTGCTGCCTAAATCAGGTCCATCCTGTCACTCCATCAACAACTCCCCCGCCACCCAATTTCCATGCTTCTTTGGCGATTGGGCATCTTTCGCCCCCCGTTCAACATGGCCTGACAAAATCCCCAACAAATCAACCGTTCAACCTTTTCTCAAAGATTGATGATGATGGACAAGCCTACACAAATGAGTCACACTTTATCGCAAACGCTGGTGAACTTGAATAGTTGGCCAGCACATCATGGAAGCCCCTGACACAGCCACACCGATATGTCAAACCGACCATCGAATCAACTGCCTTACCTCAAGCTCGGTGCAAGCCATTTGAGTAGAGTCCTATAAGTGCCAGGATATGTGATAGGCAACAGCGCGCAGGAGGGAGCTCACGATGACGCACACGCGATATCCTAGATCCTCATACGCGAATCGTGTCGCGCCAGGCAATATCTCGCGCGAGGCAAGCACTTCACATGTCAAGAACCAATACAAGACCGCGGGGTAAAAGGCACAGCCTTGTGAAGTGTCATTCACGGTGCTGGTGAATGGTGGCGATGTCAGCAAATGGGACGGAAGACCGGGTTGATATCCGTGATATCGACACGCCTTTGTCTAAAAGGAGGTTGGCATATTGGTGATATGTTTCGCAGTCGACGATTGACCAGGTTCGCTGAAGACTATTGGTGACGATGGCGGTGGGGATGACCTCCAAGACGTCTTCGACCAGCCTTCGGGCAGACCAATGTGAGGGCATCTTGGGATCAAACGTGCTGAGGAGAGAGTCTCGGGCGAAATAGCCAGAGCGAGGGGGAGTTTGCGTCGCCTGATGAAATTCTACGAAGTCCCAAGTTGCTTCAGAGTCCGTCCGAGATTGGAGTGAAATCTTTCTACTCCGATGTAGGATGCGGTGAAGCTGCGACTGCGTTACCTCAGGCGCGACCTAGTCTCCAACGTCCTCCTCTGTAGTTTTCCTCCCGATTGAAGTGGTTAATCGAACGTATTGCATTGGGCACATGTGCCGAGCCTTCATTCCGAGTCCATCCAAGGGGGTGTGGGACGATGCTAACGAAGCTTAACCAAAAGATGTGCTATCTGTAAGGGTAGAACGAATGGCGGAGCTTGCCCCAAAGACAAATCTACATAGAAATTCTTGCGTCTGGGAAAGGCAGAAGGACGGAAACAGTGTCCACGATGTAGCTAGCTGATTGAGAAAGACTCTGGCTACAGCACTACGAGTAAGATCGCCGTTATTCATTTCGTTGGCATACATCGACCACGCTTGTCTCATAAGAATGCCTCTGCGGACTTGAGTTCTGCCTTGCCTGTGGTCATTTGGTGCATGGCGCAGTGTACTCATGCAGCAATCAAATGGACATCGATGATGATGTAGCATGCCGTCTCACAGGAGAAACGTTCTGGAACTGGTAATGAAGATGACTGACTCGCCGAATCTGAAGATGGAAGCAATGGTTGCACCGCTGCTGTTGCTGAGTTCTCACGCTCCAGACCAGAACTCTTCAGATCTAGACGACGTCGTCGCCGAGGATACCGCTACAGAAAATAAATGTTCAAATGCTACGAAGTGGTTCAGTTGGGCAATTTGCCTGCAGTTATTCTCGAAGTGGTTGATAGGACAATACGAATGATCAATTGTGAGTGGCGCTGTGGACATTGCGCAGCAACTTGGTGTTCAGGATATGTGGCTTTATTGACAGGCTTCGGTTTTTATGTAAAGACTCAGTATTCATTGCGAGCAACGACAATATATATGCCCATCGTCATCATAAGACTATATCTCGCAATTCTCAGCCACCAGCCCTCCTTAACTCCTCACATCATCCCTAATCTAATAACATGGCTCACATATCCCTTCCCATAATAATCACAAAACCCACATAAGCTTGTTATTATCTTCGCCAGGTACTCCTTCCAGAAAGTAACATAAAAGTCACCATCGGTCAGCTCAATCGCATCAACGAACTCGAGATCGTTGTGAATTTTCTTGTGGGGGCATTAGTCCAGAATGTCATCATAACGGACAACGGGCACGGCGTTTCGATCAAGCCAGCCATTGGCAATTCGCTAAATTCTGTTGGCGATTTCTTGAAAAGTGTGGTTCGGCTCATATCTGGTCACGTCGACGTTGGTACTGAATCGTACACCAAATTTGGCGGTAGCCCAGTCCCGAAAACCTTGATCGGGACTCCATTTATCGACGTGCTCTCCTTTCGAACTTCTCAGGGAAACATAGAAATGGACGAGGTATTTGTCCGGGAGGTCGCAGGGGAAGAAGGTAGGATCGATCTGAGAGATGTCGGGTCGAGAAATACGTACATCGGTCCAGGTGTATACCAACACGGCAGGCTAGTTCAGTTAAGACTTCAGAAATGGGGACAAGTATGTATCAATTAAAGTGACCGAAAATACTCTCTGCGTCGTGAGTAAGAGGACAATGCGGTGATGGTTGTTCCATTCTCCTGTATCTAATATGCCAGTCATTGTCTCCAGCTCGTCTGCCACTTTCAACACCACTTTGCTCGGATTATCTCTCGCTATTGATCGTAGTGCTTGTTCTCTACATGCCTAAAGTGAGTATCGATAGAAGTATGAGGCTACTGCTGAACTTGGTGGGAGCTTCTGGTATAGATGGATAAGCTGTTGATTCAACCCGGCATGGTCCTACAGGACGAAAAGACAGACCTATACTAATATACCTCCTGAATTAGCACCTCACTCCTCAGCTCATGTCTTCTGAGGATCACTTGTTATTTTCATGGGCTCTGTGTGTAATAACCGCTCGTCAATTTGCGAGAACATGTGGCTAGCACCTCCAACAGTGTGCGAATCAGCTGTTTCAATTGAAGCCAAGGTAGAACTCGTGGAGGAGACTGCTCGAGAGCATCTTCTGGGGCGTTGATAAGCCCATGTACTATATAAAGTTGACTGGCCGCTAGAAGGGCTCTCGTTGGCATTGAACACCTTGGCTAAGAATTCAGGCAAGGAAATATATGATGATATTGTATGATTTAGGGTCTCTTATGATAAGCTTAGGATAAAATTTACTTCTCTACTCTGTTTCTCGTCAAAGTTTAGGATGACTCTCTGGCAACATTCCTTGTGCCATTGCTTAGACAATCCCAATGCCGCTTCAAGCCTCGCAACAGATAACAAGCTATTCAATTAGCATTATGGAGCATTCTCAACGGTCATGGGATGATCGAACTTCCTCTCTCTTGTGGTAATGTTTCCTCAATCTGTTCAACGACATAGAGGCCATCACGTGATGTATACGTTTCATGCAAGCTGCAACCAACATGGTTGTATGAGCTTTGCTAACTTACGTTGGCTCACCGACAATTAGCTACGCATGCCAATTATACCACCATCATCTCAGAAACTTTAAATTGGTAGAGGAGCACTCCTGCCTGTCTGGTGACCTGAGCCCAGCATTTGCCCCTATACAATGGCCAAGATCAATGACCTAATGGCGGTCTCGTCGGAGGCTGAGCTCAGAGATGTGCTGGATCTACTCCATGAGCGGGAGGGTGTTCTCATTGACAAGCTTGATGCCCCAATGAAGGACAGTAGAGATTTCCGTCGAGATCTTGGCGGTCTAGATCGTCTCCATGGAGACCTGGATATGCAACTCATCGCAGCTCGAAGCATCCATGGAGCAATGCTATCTACCGCGGGTGACACCGCTGAGCGACTGTCTACCATGATACGCGCTTTAGATATGGAGAAAAGAAGGGTAGAGGCTACGCTGATTGTTATCGAGCAAGTAATGGAGCTCAAGGCGTGTATAGCTGGTCTTATAGACAGCATGGGTGCTCCTCAGGACTGGGAGGCTGCCGCCAACTACCTCTCACTCGTATCAAATATACCTGAGGATGTTATTCGCGGGGACTTCGCTCTAGCTGTTGTCCCGAGCATTGAGGCTCCAGATCCCCCATGGACTACAATCCAGACTACTCGCAAAAGCCTCTGTGGTCTATTTTTAAGAGAATTTAACGCTGCTACCGAACAAGGGGATGGAGAAGAGGTCGCACGATTCTTCAAACTATTTCCAGTCATTGGAGGCGGTGCGGAAGAAACGGGGCTGGAAGCCTACGGGCAGTATATCTGCCAAGGTATGGCGGAAGCAGTCCGATCAGCTCTCGGAGAAGCACACGAGGAACGTGGCAAGCAGAACGATTTGTTTTACGCAAATAACCTAACACGGCTGTTCGAGCACATTGTGCAGATCATCAACAGCCACAGTGGTCTGGTAGAGAGGCACTACGGTGCTGATAAAGTCGTGAAGGTCATTGAAAGACTTCAAAAAGAGGCTGACATCCAGGGCGGAATGATCTTGGATATGTGGAACGACGAACGGGCGGTTACCAGGATGATGGCCGATATTAAGAGTTATCCTTTCTATTTCCTCCCGAAAAGCATGATGCCTGTTCAGAGAGGCATCAGTTTTGCGCTGCGAGGCAACGAGCTGGACAAAGATGAATTTGACTTGGATGTGAAGAATGTTGAGGGGCTTTTTGGAGAAATGACAACCATGCTAAGGAGTTGGTCGCTTTACGAACGATTTATTGCAAGTCAATACAAGGTAAGAAGCAAGTCCATATATGCCATCATATACTGATCATCAGCATTAGGGTCTCCTCGACCAAGAGGAAAAGCTGCCGCTTCCGAAATTTCTCGATCAGTGTAATCTCCATAAGAAGATCTCAGAGAAGGTCATCGAGCCATATAAACTTACGGCAAAATTCCTCTTCCGAAGATCAGTGGGGAAGGCTTTTGAGATGGACACTGCACCAAGTGGCCTCTCACTGTCGAAGCCGTACGATGGCAGTCCACCATTCATTCTGCAAGCCGTAGACGACATAATGTACGTCGTGGACAATCTGCTACAGCATATCCTGTCTACGGGAAATAGAGAGGTGACTGTCTATATCATCTCGGCTATCAGCAGGGTCCTCGAATCGGATTTCATCGGGATCATCCATGGGCGCATGAGAGACCAGTGTTACCCCAAACCACTGATTCAGGGTGGGTTTCCACCGGAGGACAAAATTATCAGCTTCATGGTTTTGATGAGCACTCTCGACATGGCGAAGGAGTACCTAGACCGTGTTATAAGCTCCAAGGGTTATTTCCCAAAAAGTCAAGGCGATCTGGCTGGCCCATCTACCCAACCTCTCAAAGATTCCTTCCCATTTGGCAGGGAAGCCGAGCTGGTTGCAAATGCACTACATACTCTGAACAGCGCGCTATCTGCTAAAGCTACAGAACTTCTGAACGATGGCACCCGGGAACTCTTTGATGAGGTTTTGTGGCGCCGGATCAGGCTGATTCTTACAACCTCTTTCCAAGACGCAGTTTACGATGTGTCAGAAAGGGAGTCCTTGGATGAAGATGACGTCGATGGAGGGACAACACAGCAAGTGTCGGTGCGATTCGAAGGCGGGTGGTCAGCCTTGACACGGCCACTGAAGCACATCATGACGCCGAGAACATACGCAGCATTGGCCAGCCTTGCAGCCAACAAGCTGGCAAGGGTGTTAGAGAAGCGTGCGTGGAGTTACTCTGGCCGTTTGACTGCTCTTGGTGGTTTGCGGTTGGAGTCGGACTTCTCGGGTATTATAAGCGTCATCGCCCAGGACGACTACGCCCTTTGCGAACCGTTTACTCAATTGCGAATATGGAAGATGATGAATGGGATGAGCTTGAATCAGGATAAGACTCGTCCAGGCAAGGAAGAAGCAGGTTACTCAGTGACGAGGACGTGGCTAAGGCGCGCAAGATCGTGAGAAGATAATCACTATGCCTACAAATACAGCAAGTTTGTCAGCTGGACAATGCTCTGGTGCGAACCATCTCATAAGTGGCATTGAACCCAGATACCGTCTGCTTCAGCCTTCCTGAGACATGAGACCTGAACTAGTCTAAATTTACACCTAGGAGCCCAATGTTAGTAAATCTCTTAGAAGCTTAGGCAAGGATTTAGGATGAGAAAGCCTAAAGTGAAGGTAAAGTTATGTATTAAATGAGGTAACTGATGTTCCTCTCTATGTATAGTCTATGGTCAACTTTTAATCGTACCCGTCACACATCCTGCAAAACCCATCACATCGTCTATAATAAAATTCTTTACTCTTTAACGTCGGTTGAAGTTGAGGAAGCGGCTCTGAAATAAAGTTAGCAATCGTTCTCAAGGATGGTGCTCAAACAGGATTACTTACCGCGAAGATAATGATAATTAAGTTACTTGCGATGAAGCAAGCAAAGATACCCAAATCTCTCCAACGGTTGTTGAAAGAGAGATCAAAGGTACTGTAAAACTCGTCGCCCACCTTGTACGCGCAATACTCGCAATCCGTTGTGTTGTCGTTGACAAGATAGCCACGACCACCATTGGCAAAGAAAGGCTCCATGTACTCTCCACAAGTACTGTTTGGAGGCGAACTGAAACGGTTGAGTTCGCTCTGCTTGCAGACAACCTCAACTCCGTGGAGGGCAGTTGTGACCATTGAGCTGATCAGACGGGTGAAAGGGTCCAATTGGTACATCCAAGCACGCCAGAAGCCAGGGATTTGAGGCTTGGGGATCGTAACACCACAGAACAAGGCAAAGTTAATGATGATGAATGGATCAAATTGTGCTGAGATGAAGGGCGAGGGGGTGATCGATGCGAGTGCTTGACCTAGAGTGACACTGAAAAGCTCTGTGATCAGGATGATAAAGAACTGGAAACCAGCTCGGGAGGACTCGGTCTGGAATCCGGGCATATAGTAGATGGGCAAATCTGGAACGTGTGAGTGTCGTTTCAATTGGAGTGTTGAGGGGTAAGAACTTACAGAAAGCTACCGCACACATGATCGAGTAGGGGAGTTCAGCAAGAACAACTGAAGAGGAGAACACGAAAGGTGAGTACATCTTCGAAGATTGCTCTCTGAAGAAGAGAGCTCGCTTTATGTGGAACATGACTTCGACTTGCGTGATAATAAGAGCGGGTAGAACTGTAACCTGGAACATGATGAAGACTCGGTTCTGAAGCGACGCTCTCGAGTTATCGAGATTGAGGTACATCAGACCAGTAACTTAGAAGAAGTTAGCTAAAGTCCTATAATTTGAGGATAGTTTAGGGCATTTTAGGATGAATACTTACTGAGAGCGACAGCAACGTGGCTGAAGATTCGAGTGAAGATGTAGTCAGGGGATCGCCAGAAAGACAGGAACATGCGCTTGCAAACCACCATCATCTGATGCTTGAATGGAGAAGCATATTCCTTCTCCAACTCAGGATCGTTGACAGTGACCGTGGCACCAGCAGCCTGGCGCTCTCGCTTCAGACGAATGATGGTCTCCTTAACATCAGCAAACTCAGCGCTGTCTTCCCAGATATCGGCCCAGTCACGGTCTCCAACACGAGGAGCGCTTCCAGCACCAATGGCTTCAAGCATGTACTCAGCAACGTTATCAGTAGGACCGGCCTCAGCACCGTGGCTCTTGAGATAGCTTCGCAGAACGTGAGCGTCCTTGCCAATATCGCCAAAGTAGACGGTGCGACCACCGCGCTGGAGCAGAAGAAGACGGTCGAAGTTCTCGAACAAAGCAGCGTTAGGTTGATGGATAGTGCAAAGAATAGCCTGGCCTGAAGCAGCGAGCTTCTTGAGGAAGCGGACAATGTTGAAGGCACTCTGACTGTCAAGACCGGAAGTAGGCTCGTCGAGGAAAAGCATCAGCTCAGGCTTGGCAGCAAGCTCGACACCGATAGTGACACGCTTGCGCTGTTCAACAGTAAGACCGAATTCAGGGGTTCCAATAATAGCGTCGGCGATGGACTCCATCTCGAGAAGGGAAATGATCTCTTCGACATAGGCGTAGCGCTCCTCCATAGGGACGTGGAAAGGTTGACGGAGTTCAGCAGAGAAACGGAAGGCCTCGCGGACGGTCTGAGTAGGCTCGTGAACATCGAGTTGTTCGGCATATGACGTAGATCGCTGGAAGGTCTTGCCTGGCTTCATAGCGTCGATGAGGATATCTCCGGAGATAACACCAATGTTCTTGCGAGCTGCGAGGACATCCAGGAGAGTGGTCTTTCCGGCACCAGAGGCACCCATCAGAGCGGTAAGCTCGCCTGGTCGTACGTAACCGTAGACATTGTTGAGCAGTCGGCGTTCACCTCCTGGCACAGGAACGTCATAGTTGAGGTTCTCCCAAGTGAGTACCCTCTCGGACTTGATGGTGATTTCGGATCCCTCTTCATTGGACTTGTCCTTTGTTCGAGCATCCTTCTTAGCCGCAAGTTTCTCATTCAAGGTCTTTCTCTCTTTGTTGGGCTTAGCATAGACCTTGGCAGCGTTTCCTCCCATGCCAAAGTTGACGAATTCGCCGAGAACGACGTTGAGGATCAGGAAGAAGATGATAAGAGCCAAGACAATGCCCCAGTTTCTCCAAAGGTCGCCTGGGTGGTAGGAAAAGCCCTGGGCAACGTAGTCACTGCCTGAGACGAGGGTGGTGCCGGAATTCGAGCCAGGGAGAGTGCAGACTTGGTGGTTGATATCGGTGTATTGAGGACCAGCAGGGATCAGACTGTCTGCCGTACAGGTCATTTCTAGACCTTGAAATTCATTCATCATCATTCCAGAGAAGCTCAGTCCCAGGGGATTGATCCAGAAGATCCAGCGGAGCCAAACCTGTTCTTGTTCGTATTGTATAATGTACCCTGAAGTAACGACAAACAGCGTAATTACCTAGGTATGTCTTGTCAGCCATTTTTGTTTTTCATTAGCTCGAGAGCGGTGATCTTAGTGTTGTGAACTTAATGCTGTGATCTTGGTTTGTGATCCTGGTTTAGGATCTTGGTGTTGTGGCGCTATGGGACCACACACCAATCACGATCAGTTCCCAAGTTGTGGCGCGCTTGCGCCACACTTGTGAATAGCCTCGTGTAAGTGACAATATATGGGAGATTCGAGATCAACTTACCACAACAGCGAACTTAATAGCCTGATCGAAGCCCGGAGATACACACCCGATAATTCTAAAGAATAGAGTCATCGCAATATTTCCAGATAGAATCATGAGCTACGCATCAAAGTGGGTTAGTTTATGTCTCAATATCCATTACCGCTGTGCAAAGATACTGACATAGAATGTAAAGAAGGCACCGGCGTCCCGGACGAGATTGGTCATGAAATAGACAATAATACTAAAGACCAAGATCTGTGAGGCAGCAAAAACCTGGTCGACAAAGATCTGAGCAATCCATAAAGCTGACGGTCTGTGGAACGCATAGGCCTTGTGCTTGTTCACAATCGTTCTGCCGGTCATTGTGCTCGCAAGCTCACTGAAGGCCTGGAATGCGTTGAACAGCAGGGCGACGAAGAGCAGACCTCCTTTGCTGAATGCACTGGCTGAAGTCTTTCCGAGATTGAGATACAAGGTGCCGAGGACAATAGCGATAACGATGCTGCGGAACCACCCAACAAAGAGGTTGAATCGATCCTGCAGCTTGAGAGTGAACTGGCGCTTCATAAGGGCCCAAACCTGCAAATGGAAGCCAACTTGGTAGACTGAACGCTTGGATGTTCCACGCTTTCCCTCCTTCACAGCGAGCTGGAAGTTGTTATGCGTTTCCTCTTCGTGTGCGAGAGAAGCCTTATACTCAGCCATCTCGGCTTCCAAGGACTTGAAGGCATCGGATTTCTTGAAGGCCTGCTCAAGAGTCTCAGGGTCGTGAGGGGCGTTTTCCTCGGAGCGGCCCGGGGCGTACTCCCTCTCGAAGGCATCTGTGCAGCCGGTCAGGTAGTCGGCACTGGTCTGGCGGGGACGAGGGGCGAAACCGAGACCCTCGAAGTAGCTGCGGGCAGAGGCAGCGGGACCGAAGTAGACCTCCTTGCCGCCGTCGATAACCATAACCTTGTCGAAGAGGTTGTAGATATTCTCGGAAGCCTGGTACAAGGAGACGAAAGTGGTCGTCTTATACAGGTTGGTCTGGATTCGAAGGGACTTGGCAAAATCGAGAGCAGTACTGGCGTCAAGACCTCGAGTGGAGTTATCCCAAGAGAAAACGGCACCGCTGCAGATCATAGCCTCTGCGATACTGACTCGCTTTCTCTCACCACCACTGACTCCGCGGACGAAATGATCGCCAACGATGGTGTGGCGGGTATGCTCAATGTTGAACATCTTGAGAAGCGTGGTGATAACACTCTCCTTGAACTCCTGCTTGGACATGTTTCCAGGCCTCAACTTGGGCATCTTCGTATCGAGAGCAAAGCCCAGGGTTTGCTCAACAGTAAGGGTAGGGTGATGGATATCGTCTTCGGCAGAGTAAACAGCTTCACCGCGGTACTGGTCGAATTCGGTGTTCTTCCACTTTCCGTACAATACCTCGCCCTCAACTGCAGTGTAGCCCCAACGCTGGTTGGCGATGGTCTTGAGGAAGGTAGTACATCCTGAGCCGGGTTTGCCTAGAACGAGCACCATCTCACCGGGCTTGCAAACACCCTTGAACCTGTCGAGAAGGGCGACTTGCTCAGGCTTGGGACCAAGGCCGAGCATACGAATAACAGGGGTGATAACGTCGAAGAAGTTGACAAAGGCATCGGGGAAGGTAGGCACATAATTGGACATGCCACCATAGCCCTTGACGGTCAAGTCGTTCCAGTAAACGCCAATGTGCTTGGACTTGATGCCAACCTCCCTCTCGCGATCAAGACCGCCGCGAAGAGCAGCCTCAAGATCAAAGATGGACTCGACCTCATTGTCTTCAGCGTGAGCATTCTTCTCAGGATCAGCAACGCTAGCTCTGCTCTTCCTCCTACTAGCTCTCGAGACACCAGTGAACTCTCTCTGAAGCTCAGCAAATTCGGCCTCAGCTTGCTCGATGGATACGCCACCGTTGTTGTGCTCAGCAGGCCCGTGGCGTGTCGAGTCGGTATCGATAGAGTTGCGATAAGCAGGATCAGCCTGCTCAGTGTGATGGTTGGCAGCAATGGCCTCCTCAGCCTTTCCAAGGTCTTTTTCCGCCATTGTGACTTATGTCGGTTGGGTCGTGCGTGTAAGTCGTTTTATTGGGAGCCCAAAGTCACCCGTCGCGAAAGGAAGTAGTTCACTGAGATGAACTCAATCAAGACAAGGTGTTGATTAAAATAACTATAGGAATAAGAATGATTATTATAATAAGGATACGATACAGCAGCCAATGTGTTGATCACAGGCTCACCGTTGACAAGCAAGAGAGAAGAGGGCGCATGGGAAAAAGATGCCGACATCCCGCACTATAAGTCAACAAAGGTCCAGCAAAAAAGTTAAAATGGGTCTATATCTCCTTTGGAACAATTTGATCCGGCATTACCAATCAACAATACGAAGCGTCCGTTAAAAATGTCCGCCAGTAGAGGCAGGGGTGGTCGGCTCCACCAGCTGGGAATTGCTTCAAACAGGGAGCTCCCACCTGAGTCAAGTGGACGAGTAAGTCAGCGCCGTGGGGCAGACGTGCAGGATTTGACTCATCTCGGCTAAGAACCTCCCCCAAGGCCGAGGTGGAAAAGAGTCTGATTGGTTTAGTGAAATAAGGTAAAAGATTGACACCCTCCGACGGGGGAGGTTAGGGGGACTATCTAACTCTGCTTACGATTTTTAGGTGCATCTATCCGAAAATCTCGGGTTGTGGGGGTCTCTGGACTGATGAAAAAGAGCCATTCTTTGATGTATTTAATGTGATATCTTTGCATTTCTGTCTTTTACAGACATATTCGGACTCACATGCCGTGTCAATGTTTTGAGTTCATCGCTGCAACGCGACATTGAAACCCAAAGCTCGGGTATCATATCCACCCAATCTCGCTCTGTGGAGACAAACAGTGGAAACGTCAAATGCTAAAAAAGGGCAACGGTTGAATCTCGTCGCCCTGGGCGTTCCCTTAAGTCCGAGAATACAAATTCTGACTGGCTGCTTTGATTCAGCATTTTACGATCATTTCGACTCATAACCAAAGATGGAATAGTACAGATATCAGCCAGTCAAGAGGTTATAAGACATGCATCGGCGTGACACATTGTTTTCTTTGTTGATATTGCAATGCAAGTGGAAGAGGTCTGCAGTGTTCGGACGAATCTCCCCGCGATGAGATCATCTTACCAAGATCGTTTGGAGATTCACGTTCATGATCACTCTTCCATGATATGATATCTCAGCTTCGCATGGCAACGGATCCTTGTTCATCCTCTAATCAATCTGAACAGGGATGACCGGCGAGACCCACCCGTAAGCAGCGTTTCAGGGGACAGTCTCCGAGAGTTCTTGTCCGGTTTACTGCGATTTTCGACGATCTCCGCCTCCGTCCGGTTTCTAGTCCGTTCTTCGTCCGCCGCCATCGGCCGAGTGAACTCCGCCTCCCTTGCCAAAGAGGTTCTGCCGAATAATTTAGAAGATTCATAGAGTTTTATAGAATAGTTGCTGTAATTTTAGCTCTATTTCTAAGGAGTACATGATGTCAGGATCTTGATGATGAAAGGGTTTTTTCAAGGTTAGTGTGCCTTTATGGTAAGATCTTAAATTCTGGTGATATACGAGGCTTCCATCATCGTACTCGGTTTCAAGCTTCAGCCCAGTGACTGTTGCCCTCCTCCTCACTCCAACATCTCTTTTTGCCTGTGATTCTCCTACAAATCTTTAGACACGTCTTGGGCTTGGTTGCTAGTGGAAAAGATCACCTCAGCCTGGACCTATCAATTGGGAATTGCTGCATTCAGAGCCAGCGTGTGACGTTTGGTGGCATCTAACGGGTCGTGTCGATACTACCCTCTATTGCAGAATGCGTGGTATCGATGGGTTTTTCTGTCAAAGCCAGTTGCCAACATCCACGATCTCAATTGACGGGGATCTCAGAGGCAGGCGCGGCAAGAGTATGTTGTTACGGGAATGGATAAAATGAGAATGAGGCCTGCACCTGATCTCAGTTTATAGGACTTAAGGACAATCTCTTCTAAACTTAGTCATTCTTATGATGAATGTTGAAGAGACCTTATGTATATTTTACCTGTCTTAGTATAGAGAATTATTTGGTGGTAGGAGGATGTTGCTTGATCCCAGGTCGAGAAGCATCTTACTTGATGTGAAACTTTGCTCTTTCCTAATACGGCAGGAGTTTGATCGCTTGTTGTCATTCCACTCAATGGAACCTACAAATGCTTCAGTTTCAATATCACATCGACCTCTACAATAAGGTATACAGGCCACGCGTTACCTGAAAACTCTTATCAACGAGATGACGCGAACTGTGGTTTCGTTGTCCGCGTGTGCAACGCGTAATTTTGGCTGTTCATGATGTTGGCTATCGCTCTCAATCGGCCAATCTTTTGCCGTCTGACAGACCCAAGAGGAACTTTTGACATGAGCGACATGCATTAAAAGACAACGACTTCGCTTCTTATCTGGCCCCCTCAATGTCACGCAACATGAGTTCGACTTGCTTGAATGATGGCTCCTGGGGACCCGGCGTTCGGGGTTGTCGAGGCGATTTCGACTTCACCCAGAAATTCGAACGCATCTTTCTTTCGATTATTCCAACTGTGGTGTTCATCGCGGCAGCTATTGCCCGCATAGCCATTTTATTGCAGCGCGAAAGGATAGTTGGGGGTGTTATTCTTCAGTCGATCAAGATCGTAAGTATTTGACAAGCGAACGCAGAGCTGATACTGACTACCTTACAAAGGCATTCCTGGCTGTTTATGCCATTGTTCAACTTGCCACTCTCATTCTCATCGCGACCGGGGCCCCGGGCGTTGTCCACGACCTCTCTCTTGCTGGATCATCCCTTGTAGCCATCGCCGCCTTCTTAGCGGTCTTTTTATCTTCATTCGAGCACTCCTGTGCCCGAAAACCGTCGACTTTGCTCAATGTCTACATATTGCTCACGCTTCTTTTTGACATCGTGCAAACAAGAACGGCGTGGCTCGCATCTCAGCATGACATCCAGCCCCGTTTATTCACTGCCTCTGTCGTCGTCAAAGCCGTGGTTCTCTGTCTAGAGGCCATTCCCAAAACGAAATGGATTCACTGGAATGCTGATGAGCATAGCCCGGAGGAGTCGAGCGGGATATTCAGTATTGGTGCTTTCGCCTGGTTGAACCAGCTTTTCATGAGAGGATATCGAGGGGTTTTGGCCATAGATGACCTTTACCCCCTCGATGAGAACATGGCTTCCAGTAGACTGTACAGCCAATTCGCCAAAAGGCTTCGGGTGCATAGATACAACCAAGAGCTCAAGTCTGGACTTCTGAAGGACCTGGCTAGAACACTCATCAGCCCATTCCTCCTCCCAATTGCGCCTCGCGCCGCCCTCATTGCCTTCAAATTCTGCCAGCCCGTCTTCATCGATGCGACTCTCGAGTATCTGCAGATGCCTGAGACTCCGGCGACGAAAAACATGGGCTACGGCTTAATCGGCGCAGCATTCCTCATTTACGCAGGCATTGGAGTTTCTTCTGCATTCTACGGTTACTATAAGGAAAAGGCTATATATATGATCCGAGGCTGCCTGGTCGCTGCGATTTACCAAAAGACAACACAGATGAAGATCACGGCTGCTGATGACTCTGCTGCTTTGACGCTTATGAGCGCTGATGTTGAACGCATCATCAAGGGTGCTTGGACAGCTCATGATATCTGGGCGAACACCATAGAAGTAGCCATCGGTTGCTGGCTTCTGCACGGGAAGATTGGTCTAGCGTTTCTGTCTCCGCTTGTCGTGATCGGCGTTTGCGCTCTTTTGCTGTCCTGGTTGGTCACGTTCGTTGGCAAGAGGCAGAGCGAGTGGATGGCGAAGATCCAGAACAGAGTAGGATTGACTGCCAACGCCATCTCCCAGATGAAGCTCTACAAAATCTCCGGCATCGCTGGGCCTGTAGCAGATCTCATACAGACACTCCGCGTTGGAGAGATCAAGGTTGGAAACGGCTTCCGCTGGCTTTTGATAAGTGCTGCCGTGCTTGCCTTTTTCCCGATTTGCATCTCTCCAGTCGTCACCTTTGCGTTCACGTCCACAGAGTTGACTGTGAATACACTATTCACCTCGCTATCATACATTCTCCTCTTTACTACTCCCGTCATCGGTCTCTTCCAGAGCCTTCCAGGCATCTTTGCTGCCCTGATATGCATGGCTCGAGTGCAAAAGTTTCTCGCCGCAGGCCCGCGCAACGACTTTCGGATCCACGAATCTGTTCCTTTTTCCGAGAAAGGACCATCGAATTCGTCAAATGAGGTAGCGTTTTCTGTTGAGAACGGTTGCTTCGGATGGGGAGGCGAGAAATTGACACTGAGTCAAATAAACGCTTTTGTTCCGGCTCACAAGCTCACCATAATTGTGGGCGAAGTGGCATCTGGAAAGACCACCTTCTGTAAGGCTTTACTCGGGGAGCTACCTGTCTCCTCAGGGACCATCAAAACGTACATATCATCGCATCATATTGGCTACTGTGAACAAACTCCCTTTCTTTACAATGCGAGCTTTCGAGAAAACATTGTTGGACATTGCGCTTTCGATCAGGCCAAGTACGACGAAATTGTGGAAGCTACTATGCTCGTACCAGACGTTGCACTCTTACCGCAAAGTCACGATACAAAGATTGGAAGTAATGGGATCATGTTGAGTGGTGGTCAAAAGCAACGTCTTTCTGTTGCCCGCGCGCTATACTCTGAAGCAGATCTGATGATTTTCGATGATATCCTAAGTGGTTTAGACCTGGATACTGAATCAGAGCTCTTCAGACGTGTATTTGGACCAGGGGGTATCACTCGCCGACGCAACGTTACTGTGGTCATCTGCACACATTCTGTCAGGAACCTGCCTCTGGCAGACCATATCATTGCTCTTGGAAACGGTACAGTCATCGAAGAGGGAAGTTTCTCAGACTTGATGGAGAACAAAAAGTATGTTCACAGCCTTGGCGTCAAGCACAGAGACACGGATTCTGCTTCTTCAGACGATGAAAAGGCAATGACAAGAGTCGCGCTTGCCACCGTCCCTACCACACTTCCCCAGGACGTACCAGCGGCGGAGAATAAAGCACGACAACAAGGCGACTTTTCTATCTACAAGCACTACTTCAAGAGCGTTGGCTTCTGGCCAGTTGTCATCGTGGCCGTGGCAGGCATGTTAACTGGTGTCTGCAACAGTCTTTCAAGCGTCTGGATCAAATTCTGGGCTGAAGACGCTTTTAACAGATCCTTTGTCTTTTACATAGGTATCTATGGTATGCTACGAGCTGGATATATGGTCTTCTTGTTCTGCGATGGAGTTACAACATTGATCAAGATGACTGCATCGGCAGGTACTGAGCTGCACGAACGCGCTATTCTGACTGTTATCTCCGCGCCTCTAAGGTTCTTCTCAAAGACTGACACCGGCATCGTGACGAACCTGTTCTCGCAAGATATGACTCTCCTGGATAGCGAACTACCGCTGGCCCTGACCAACTTTTCCCTGGACGTCTCGAACGCATTTGGCACTGCATTCATTGTAGCTTCAGCGTCACCATATCTCGCAGTTGGATACCCCTTTTTGATGGGAATTCTATACTTAGTTCAGAGCTTCTATCTGCGAACTTCTCGACAAATCCGACTCCTCGACCTTGAGGCTAAAAGTCCACTGTAGTACGTGATACTTAGCTACGAGCCGAAATCGAAATTCTAACTCTTCATTTTAGCACACATTTCACGGACACAATCAAAGGTGTTGCAACTATTCGGGCCTTCGGGTGGCAACAATTTGACATTGCCCACAGCAACAAACTTCTCGACACATCCCAGCGCCCAGCATACCTCCTGGCAATGATTCAACAATGGCTCGCGACATTACTTCACTTCATCGTTACGGGCACAGCCGTTCTACTTGTCGCTCTCGCAACCCAGCTTCGAACTAACGCAGGTTTGACTGGCGCTAGTCTGATCTCTCTTCTGACTTTCAGCGAAGCCTTGTCAAACCTCATCACTAGCTACACTTCCCTTGAGACGTCGCTCGGTGCTGTAAGCCGGTTGAGATCCTTCAGCGAAACCGTCGAGACAGAGAATAAACCTGGCGAAGTTATTGAGCCCCCTGAGACCTGGCCTCATAACGGCAGCATACAAGTCCACAAGGTTTCCGCCTCTTACGACTCTCCTGGTAACGAGCAAGACGAGGCTGCTTCTAGCTTGGCACTGCGTGATCTCGAGTTGGACATCTCACCAGGCCAGAAAGTAGCCATTTGCGGCCGTACAGGAAGTGGAAAATCAACGCTCATCCTTCTCCTTCTTCGTCTCATCGATCCTCTCCCCTCTTGTGATTCAAACATGAAGATCGACGACATATACCTTCACCAAATAGACCGTGCTACCTTGCGCAAGCGCGTCATTTGCATCCCCCAGGACGCAGTGTTTCTCCCCGATGGCAGCTCTGTAAAAGATAATATCGACCCTTACAAGGCAGCCACAGACGCAGAATGCTTCAACGTTCTCAACACAGTGCGGTTATCTGGTTTTGTCCACGACAAAGGCAGCCTCAACGCTGGTATGAGTGCTGACGACCTCAGTGCTGGACAAAAGCAGCTTTTCAGCCTCGGTAGAGCGATCCTTCGTCGTAGAGTGCGCGATCGCCTCGCTGGGGGTGAGAAGCGAGGTGGATTGCTGTTGCTTGATGAAGTGAGCAGCAGTGTCGACAAAGTCACAGACAGGGCTATGCAAGAGATTATTCGCGAAGAATTCGAGAATTATACAATTGTCATGGTGTCTCATCGACTTGAGATGGTAATGGATTTCTTTGATAGAGTCATTGTTCTAGATAGGGGCACTGTTGTAGAGTCTGGTGGGCCAAGGGAGCTCGTCGAGACACAGGGAAGTCGATTTGGTGATCTCTGGGCTGTGGAGCATGATGGGAGGTCAGAATAGCGTCCGTTCTTGTAGTGACTCTTTAAAATGTCTTATGATCATGTCAAATGAATTTTGGCGACAAGCATTCTCATAAAGCATGAACTTATTGGAACTTAGCACTGGGTTTATGAGTTCAGGACTGTTGCAGACCACCGCATGACGAGTTTAGACGATGTTACCTAAATTTCGAGGAGTTCATAGTTAGGTTTATGATTGTATTTCTCTGGCTATTTATTGCGTCTGCTAAGCAGCCAAACATGTTGTAAATAAGAAAAGAGTGAAATAGTCGCTCAGGTACGCCTTGTAAGTGATGTTATATCAATGGCTCCAATTAGCCTTCTTATGCAATCCATCAAACGCCAGGCCATGCTCCCATGTTTGTTGATGCTTTCTTATGCTGATGAAGTTGTATCTCGTCAAATCGTTATGAAATATGCAATGTCGTATATGCTATGCGTCGTGGTGTCTCCAGCAACACCTGTCTTTTACGCGTCTTCCCTGATCGGTCTTTGCGAATTCAGGGGCTTCCGGGCGTGAATGTTGTAGTAAGGGAAATAAGTATGGAACTTTGGTAAGCCATTGACTTCCTGAGTCAATGACTTTCGAACTTCGATGAGAAACATCTCGATCTGGATCAATGTCCAGCCAAGGCCATCACGAAACGGTTTTCGGGATAGGCCATGGAGAGACAACAGAACGACATCTCTTAAAACATGGCCGCACTCTTGAAGTCGTTTCTTCTTCGCCCACGGACCAACTGGGCACTTGTAGCCTTTGGTTGTGATGTTTTCGAAGCCTGCTTCGTGAAGTTCGTGCCCTACGTGACTGATGCCGTGGAGATCTGTGCCGAGAGCTAGCATGCCTTCGAGGAGATAATTGCAATAGTCCCGCCAAGCGTATGGACCGTCGCATGAGTCGTCGTCGCAAGCTGCGATGTAGTTAAACTCCTGGATTTCTACGTAGCCTCCTGGTTTAAGGTGTCTGTGTGAGAGTCAGCTTGTGGTCAGATAAAGGCGCACGACTGCCATACTTCCAGATTCGTTCCCAGAGCAATTCTCGGTCTTTGATGGAATGAACTGTGTGGCGTATATGTATGTAATCAAATGTCTCGTCTCCATAGGTCCAGCCAGCTTCATGCTCTATGTCGTCGACAACAAAGATGGCATTCTCCGGGACCCAGTCCGGCTGTATAGGTGAAAGGTCCATACCGTGGAATTGTGAGTTGGGGTAGATATCGGCAACTTTCAGGGTCAGCAATTAAACTCCCAGCTTGGTATGGAGTTCTTGAGGTGAGTCTCACGGTCAATGCACCATTTCCCAATTCCTGTGCCCAGATCGAGCACTTCAGCTCCCTTTTCCAATAATTGCTCAATTGGCGCAAAGAAGAGTCTATCATCACACAGGTACACGGTCAAGTTATGCTTTAGTTCTTCTCGATCTTGCTCGGCTTCGTCGTTAGGGAAAAGGTATTTTCCTGCATGGTAGCTGCGATCGATTGTCAGCCATTGAGCAAGGACGGTTCGTATTCATCCGTACCTATGATACCGCAAACCACCCTCTACAATGTGCTGTCGTATACTGTCGGTCAGGCTCCGTGTTTCGTCGTCGTCGGTCGCGTAATCGCCTCGCTCAATGCTTTGTATAAGAGCCGCTTCGTGGGCCGAGCCTACAGCCAGCGGAGATGTCGTCGAAGACGCTGGAGATGGGGGTATCATGTGGCGGTAGACAGGTAGATGTTGATCCTTTTCGGCGCCATCTCTCTGGTTGGAGGTATTTGAGGGTGGAGAATCGTCGGATTGACGAGAGAATGAGTTTGGCGGCGAGTTCATTATCGTGAGCGCAGTTACAGGGGTATGCGCATACCGCGGGTGATGATCGAGGGTCGACGCAACAGAGTTTTTATGGTGTTGAAGTCAAAAACAAACATTAAACGAGAGAGTTCAAGCCGTTGAAGTAGGACAGGAGATAGTCAGGGAGTGGAAGGCGCTAAGGTGAGATTGAGCGGGATGGCGCTCTCCTCCGTAGATCGACCTGACGTCAGTAACCTTATAGCGGATAAGGCGCTATAAGTCTAGGCTGTGCAAGTCAAGACTACGCTGAGCTAGTATATGGATGGTGATATTGTCGCCTTGGTGTTGATGACAGCTGATGAGACTCAGTTGGCATCGATACATAAAGAGCAAAGTCGAAGAGAAAGACTGATCAAGGGTTCAGGGCAGGGCAAGGCAAGTAAAGTAGAGCAAGGTCAGTCGAGTTGCTTTAAAAAAAGAGACGGTAAACGGTAAGACCAGACCAAGTTGGGTTAGAGAGAATCCATTCCAGGGAGACTAAAAAGTTACTCCATTTTGAGAACGATAGCGAGGGGAAGCTATCAAGAAAAAAAGAGGAGAAATATGCACGTCTAATGATGATGCTAGGAAAGGATTGTCACTTTCTACAGTTTCCTGGTGTACTCATGACTAGTATATAAACCTCATCATATCATATCATCACTTCTATGGCAATGTCTGTCTGTGACTGTGACTGTGACTGTGATGACATCGCTACCGAGAATCTGGAAAAATTCCTTTCCAAATACACAAAATTGTGGCTGCCCCCAGATGACCCCCAGTTCCAGTCGGTTGGTACCGCTCAGAAGCCTCCAGGCAAATCATAACGCCTCAATCCACATTCAAGTCAATCGAGAGCAAGGGTTTTCATGCACTCTCGTCTGGCGGTCACAGGCAGTCACACACACACACACCTCCACCTTTTTCCGTTTCCTTTTCCTTTTCGGCTCCGCAGTGGAGGGTGAGTTTGAAGGGTTACACTGACATGAGGGGTCTTGGGCATGAATTGTTGTTCAAGAGAAGCTGTGTTCATTTATTTGGTCAATTAACGACAAAACAATAAGGTAATTTATAAGCAGGTGTTGCTTAGACCACCTACCATCAAGATCCATGCACATACAAAAGCCAAGGTTCTGGGTATTCCAACCTTGGGTACTGTAGCCAGACCTTGTCCAGCCCGTGTCAGGCATCTTGCACCATCCAACAAGAACAAAACGACACCAACCAATCAAGGATCTCGGACCCTGCAACTTTGCTCCGAAAAAGAATCTTGCTGTTTCTGGACACGAGATAAACAAAAAAAATATTCTGTGATTCTTGGATCTCTATCAAAGTCGTTCGTCTCATTCATATAGCCAGCTCTGTAGCTCTCCATCGGCTCTAAATGAATGGTATAGTTGAAACGAGTATCAGCACGATAAAATACTGTCAAGAAATGAACGACTCGTCAACATCTTCAATCAAGCCCAGACCGCAATTACGTATCCATCCTTGTCGTACCGACACAAGGGATAAGGCCCGCTGTTGTACAGCATCATGTCCCATTTCTCTGCACGCAGGCATTTAGCATAAGGTCATCTTCACCAGAACCAGGCTTTACTCCGCTCTTGCGACAACTTTGAGCCCGATACTCCCCGTGCAATATCACGACATTCTTGTTTGAACCTCGCATTTACATATAGACCTTCTATCAAGATGTCAATCATCGGACATTAGCAACTATAGCATATTCCCTTGACGATAAGAGCTTACAACTGCCATAAACGGTCTTGCATTAATGCTCACCGTGCACGATGCGGGATGGGTACCCTTGAACCCTGGATCGAAGTGATGTGATGGATACTAACCGAGCGAGTTGTGAGATGCCATAACGCAGCAGGGGTGCATGTCCATCGGTTCGCATCTTTTACCTTATAGCCCTAAGCTTTATCGATTACCGTCATCTCACTCCTGCTATTGGACACTGCTAAGAGTGTCATTCTTCCAGCAATCAGGATACTATCGTGAAATACGGCTGCCTACAGACCAGGTATTTATCCGTGCCAAACTTTCTAGACCGCAACAACAACAAAAGACTTGATATGCTTTGTAAGAAGGACTTCAATTGACATGCTTGCAACATCAACTGTAAAAAGCATTGCGGGCGCTGACAAGTCTGTTGGTCACATTACTATCAGTATCACCTCGCCAAGCCAACACTTCACGAAAGCAGAGCATAGGAACTTTTACTCAATGCAACCCAAGGTTTGGCCTCTGACCATTTAGAAGCTGTTTACGAGCACGAGGTGATTGATGTTATAATGTCGCGGCTAATTATCAAAAGCTGTCTACTGTCATATTTTTTCAACAAGATCGAGATACACTAAATCTCCACTACATATCGTTCCAGACACAAAAAGAAATCATAATGCATCCGAGCATCCACTTCATGGCCATCCAATTGCGTTGCTCTGCAATAAGCTGTCAGAAGGTTTCTGGTGAGGCTGACTTACACACGACAGCCCCTTACATATTTCTCCTGCAAGGAACCGGCTCCAAAGACAGTCTCCCTTACTTGCAAGATGACCTTCAAACAAGTCTAAAGATAAGCGTATTAGCCAATCCTATTCTATTCAAATCAATTCAGCCACAGTCAAAAAGTTACAATTATCAGAGAAGAGAAAGAGTAGAGCGAATCACTGTCACATTAGAATCCTCTAAAGTAAGAATAAAGTCATAAAGCCATATTAAAGCCGAAATACTACTGATTTCTAATCGCCGAAAAAGATACCACCATCGAAATGGACAGCCAAGACCCTAATCTATCGTACAAGATATCCCAGAGCTAGATCTACCCAAATTATACCGACTGGTGTAAGAATGAACCAAGAACGTTAAGCGTTACACATATGCGTGTTTTGTTGCTATCAAGAGCAAAAGACGTGAATGCTGAGCTTTGCTGGGCAGAGACTCCGGCATCTATGAGAAAAGTCCCAATCCGGGGAGAAGAAGAAGAAGGCTTGCTTGTCAGTTCCTTTACAGGACGAAAGCAAGACCGGCGATGGCAGCGGCCACACCGGCGAAGGTCTTCTGGGCAGCACCGGCGGTCACAACGGGGACCTCGGGCTTGGAGCCAGTGCCGGTGGTCTCAGGAGTCTCGGGATTAGCAGGAGTCTCGGGAGTCTCAGGCTTAGCAGGAGTCTCGGGAGTCTCAGGCTTGGCGGGAGTCTCGGGGTGCTCGGGCTTAGCAGGAGTCTCGGGGTGCTCAGGCGTGTAGGGAGTCTCGGGCTTGGTGGGCTTGGAGGGAGTCTCGGGCTCGGGGACGACGACAACAGGGGGCTTGCCGGGGTAGACGGGCTTGGGAGGGTGGACAGGCTCAGGCTTGACGGGAGGGTGGACGGGCTCGCACTCGCCCTTGGAGCACTTCTCGTAGGTGTAGCAGTCGTCCTTGCACTCATCGAAGTACCATCGGTCCTCATCGACATCGCAGACGAACTTGCGAGCGTAGTCGACAGAGTAGTGCTGGTCACGCTGGCACTCGTTGCCGTAGCAGACGATGCGCTGGTTGCACTCATCACCCTTGTAGTCGGCGTAGTGGCACTTTCCGCTTTTGCAGATCTTGAGCTTGGTCCAGGTGTCGTCGTGGCATTCACGAGGAGCGCAGAGACCATCCTCGCAGACGATCTGCCACTTGGTGCAGGTAGGGCAGTGGACCTGAGGAGCACAGTAGTTACCGTAGCAGATGATGATGACATCGGTGGGGATGGCGGGGAGAACAGTGGTGACGGTCTGGGTGACGGTGGTGCCATCCTCAGTGAAGGTGACGGTGGCAGTGGTGGTGACAGGAGGGAGGGTCTCGGTAACGAAGTCGGTGTTGATGACAGTGTCAGTCTCACCAGGGTTCACACCAATGGCGACGTAGACGGAGAGAAGAACGTTGACAGCGACCTGTCGGCGCATGAGGCGGTCGCCAGAACCGAGACCACCACAGTTCTCATCAGAGTTACCAGGGCAAGTGATGTCACACTGGTCAGTGCTAACAGCAGGAGAGGTGCTGATATCAAGCGTGTTACCACAGTAGCAGCTGTTGTCGTAGAGACCGAAGAAGTTGGAGCCCAAGCAAGCATCAGCACAACGCTCAGAGTCGTTCTCCTCAGAGGAGTAGGCCTGAGTGAAGCCAGGGAAGCCGTTCTCAGAAGAGAAGCATCCGAGGAAGTTGAAGCCGTCAGGGTTGCCAATGCCGCCAGCAGAGGTGCTGGTAGCGGCACCGGAGGTCTCAGTACCGGTGACATCAGTGCCAGTGGTGGCAGTGCCAGTCTCAATGGCGCCGGTGGTGGTGTTGGAGAAGCGACCTGTGGTGAACTGGGCAGCGGCCAAGTTGCCCATGGCCAGGGCGAGGAGCTCGGTGTAACGCATTTTGATGGTGGTTCTTTGGAGCGAATGACTGGGGATGTAACGACTGGAAAACAGCTCTCGGAAGAGAAGCGAGGGGATCGAGGATGTTTAAGTTGCTTGATGATGAGAGAAGGAAGAAGTTGAGCTTTGGACGGAATCAAGCCCTCTCTTTATACATGATTTGGGTCCCCTTGCCTTGGGGCTGAGATTGTATGGGATCCTCCGAGGACCACAGACTAAGCCTCGCGCCGATAGTCTGTCTGGTCCTCGACGAATGCATCGAGCCCCAACGCAAACAAGTCCAGAGTGCTGTGACTGTTGAGACATGGCGTTCCCGTCCAACAAGCAAAGAATGCAGTGCCCCTGACTTGACATGTCTCACTCCCACTCCACACTCTGAGGAGCTTGTTTGGCCCCAAAATCCCCGCCGCTTGAGAATTTGGCTCTGCAGCACCTCGGGTTGTAAGATTACTCTAGATTCCAGATGCTAATACTGATAGCCTCTATCTCACTTGTTGATACGTGAGGCTGCTGACACAGGATTCTGCTGAGACACTCATCCCAATGCCTTGGCCTACCCTCCCTCAAAGGAGTGAGTTCACATGTATCGAAGCACTCTGAATTCCTCCATTTTCGACTGCTTCTTGGATACCGACGGCCCATCGGCATCAGATTGATAGCCAAGAAACAATTTCTCCGCATGCGCGCGACCATTCCTGGATGCGTCAAAAAGAGCACTCGCTATCAGAGCACAATTTCTCAAAGGTTCCCCTCGTGTAGGATTTAGCAGATATGTGACGAGCGTCTAATCTCCATCACCCAAGAATGTACGTCATTGGTCACCAGAAATAGGCAGAGCAATATCTGGTGTGTTTTGTGGCTCCTCCAAAGGCGACCATACTCGCTTGAGTATCACTCACATAGCGTTTTCAGCGGTTGGAACTTGAGATCGGACAAGGCAAAAGATCGACCCTGTTTCGAAACCGTTCATCAGACCCCTCCCTCCCTTCGGCCGGATGCGAGCATTCTTTAGCACAGTCCGGGGAAACAGGATCCGAGGGTTTCTTCATATCTCGAAAGCATATGGGTATGAGTGTTTTGTTTTGGGTTTCTTGTTCATGTCCACAAGATCGAGACACTACCCATCCCGGAAGCTAATAGATGATCCACAAGGGGGAAATTACGTTCGTGAGAAGTGGAAGAAAGGTTGGTCTTACCAAGGGAGAGCTGAAAGCTGGTATGAGACATGAATCAAGTCTGAGTTGTTGTGTTATGCGGGCCGATGGTTTTTGCGGAGGCCGCCGAGCCGGCCGTGCTCCGGACGGGGGTCTAGGGTAGTTTTCGACAGTCCAACTCAGTCCATGACACTTCAACAACAGGAAATGATCAGGAAATGCCTCAAAATAATGGAGATTTTTGTTAAAGCTGATAATAATTTCGACGTTTCTGGCATCGCCAAGCTCAATCTAAGTTTATTACTGCGGAGAGAGTTATAGCCGAGGGTTGAAGTTCTCGTATAACCTTACAAGAACTGTCACTGGAATTCGCGGCTCGTATCAAAGAACAAACTTCAAATACTGATTGGCTAACGCTCAACACACTTTCCAGGAATTTTTATCTAATCCACTTCTTGCTTGGCGATAACTGGCCTACATCTACTAAGATTCAACAACTCCACAGTATATCGCTTGGATGCAACTCATCCAAAGAAGCTTGTTAAGCTTGAGTTGGCATGGATCACTTTGATAGCCTAAACAAACCGGTATTCGGTAGTCTCGGAAGCTCGCCAGAGCCCTACGACGTTAGCCTTGTCTGTTTCCGGAGCTTACAGACTGATACTAACCAGTCGAGTCATACAATCAGTTGACTTGCTCTCGATTGATAACTTGGCGATGATGATCTTTCTATGACGTGAGGAGAAGCTTTAGCTATCGCATCCGTTCCAAAGTCAATTGCTCCTGAGTGATAACATTAGGGAACTCCATATTCCAGTATCATCGCTCTCCGGATCAAAAGTTGCCGTGCCAAGTCGTTGATATTGCAATCATGTACTACAAGATTTCATGCAAGGTACAAAACACCCTTATTCACGCCTCTGTTACACAACCGCATATCAGTAAAGGAAAACATCCCCCAAGTCTCCTGTTCCTGACGATCAAAATAACGTGTGGCAACGTTGCGCCTCGTATGTTTAATCCCCAACTGCAATGCCAAAATTGGAAAGCCAAGTAAAGTTGCGGCAATAACATGCTCCTGGCGAGGAATGTTGGCAGCGCGTGCCGTTGGAGCCATTCCCGCTTCTGATCGGAGCTTATGTTAGTTCACCATCGTGGGAAAAGAACGCCCACAATGCACTAATCTCCTTTGTCTTCGCTTCTGATGCCAGGGAGGGTTGTTATTTGTCGCCTTATGCAAGCCGCTTAATTCAATGCCTTGCAGAAAATTACATATTAACGTCCGTCACCCAAAGACTGGCCACCCCCACAGACCGACCACCCCGACCAAAACACCAAGAACCGGATATCATGATCAATTAACTAATTATCTCAACACCACATTTTTTATATTAAATAAAAATTTAGTCAGTGAATATTTAGATGAAACTGAGTACAAAGGTCCTCAAGTTTTAATTTCTTAACCCTATTTGCCGTTCTTTCTGGCTGCAA